ATTTAATGCGCTATCCACGCTGGCGGTGCTCGGGACCTTTGAGGTTAGGTTACCGACTTCGTACCAGAGCCGAATACTATATCCTCCTACTACCATTCGAAGTAGCTTCTATAATCGCAATTGAATTAAACTACACCGGCTATTTCGGAGCATTTAACTCTATTTCAATTGTAACCTTCGATTCGTTAATAAATATTTTCATTCTAGTTCAAGCGAGCAACGAAAGAGGGTTAATTAATTAGTATCGTCGAACACGGAACGGGGAAACCTTTGAATCGACCCGATAAAGAAACTGAATATTTACCAGAATATCGGCGGCATGCTCCAAAATTTCTGGCTCCGATTAACGGAGTCAGCACGGCTACCGGGGGGGACACAATTAATTCCCGACCACAAGGCTCTTCGATAATGTCCCATTCTCCCCACCTCGGACGATGCTAATAATAGCCGGGCCAGATCATCCTCGAATAATTGAAGAGGGAAACGCGGTGGAAAAAGTCTCGAAACGAGGATCCGCGGAGGGCGAGAGACTGTCCCGACCGGCCAAATATGGCGCGTGGGGCGAGGTTGGAAAAACCGTTTCGAAGCGTTTAATTTAATTAGGCACCGCGAAACGGACTGGCCGCGACGAGCCCGACCAATGGGCGTGTCCAACGCGACACCCACCCGTTTCCAGCGTTCCTCGTGTCCAACGGAAGTCGTCGAAGAGAGAACACACGGTTATGGATTGTTTTCAAGAAATTCTCGGGAAAGCTTGTCTACACAGTGAGTCACGTAATCGTCGGTGCCTATAATCGTCACACGTGGATCGCGCCCGGCAAGCTAACTAAATGTGGAGCTGCGAAAAAAAATTCTAACGCGATCGCAACGATCGCCGACACGTGGCATCGGTGTTCGAATAGCGCGCGGTTACATAATCCACGATCGTTCCGTTACCGGGCGGATTATCGATAAATCCCGACGAAAATGGAAGCGAGGGCCGGCCAGCCATGCTTGAGAACCGGGGAAATGATTCGGAGCATGAAATGATCGGGAAAGAAATTTGCACTTACAGTTTCAGGAACAGTAGCAGCAGCAGCAGTTGTTCCATTGGACGAGACTCACGGGCAAGTCCTGTGGGCCCGGATCGATTCCCCGGCAACGTAGAGGGCGGCGAGGAAGAACCGGTGCACCACTCCAGATACGAGACGTGACGCACACTCTCGAGCAAAGTGCACGATGACTCGACGACGCCCGCCTTCCAACGTTCTACCCGGGGAAGGCTCATGAGAAAAAGAACGAAAAGAAAGAATAAGGGAGAAGGAACGAGATTCGCCGGAGACATCCACTGAGAATCGCACGAGGAAAGAAGGAGAAGAAGAAGACGAAGGAGAAGAAGAAGGAAGGAAGGGTACGTAGTAACCGTCGAGTTTCGCGCAGGCCCGAAAACCGCACTGTCAGCCGGAAGCGTGGCACACGATCGTGGACGAGGGAGAAGAAGGGGAGCGAGTCAAAAGGAGAATAGAGCCGTCGCGGCCGGCCGAGAAACAAAACTGAAGGAAACCGGAAGATCGAGGAAGAGGGGAGAGTGTGTGTGTGTGAGAGAGAGAGAGAGCGAGAAAGAGAGAGAGAGGGTCTCGACTTCCTTCCTGTTTCGCGAGCGCGTGTACGAATGGATGTGTGCTCAGAGCCTTGGCCTCACCACGAACAGTGTTCAGCTGAATGTTCAAGTTCTTTTTCTCCAAAGACGAAACTCTCGGCGCGAGATCGGAACATCGACTGGCGAATCGACAGAAGAACGGATCGGTTGTGCTCCGAACGGAGTCGAACTCGGAACTACTTGGTCGTTGATGACCACCCGAACTAGAGGAACGAGCGGCGCGGACTGAGCTGCGCAATGGTCGACCATCGCTCCGCCAGTCACGGGTGCGCCTGCGACCACTGCGCAGAGCAGAGTGGGGGTAGAACCGAAGAGACACCGATGGTGGGGGCTGAGGGTTCAGTCCAGGAGCGGGGATGCGGCCGAACGCACCCCGTGAATGACGCAGGTGGCGGCCACGGACAATGACTGCGCGAGCGCATCGCTGCCGTCTCTTCTTCTCTGTTAATTAACTCTTTAACCGATCGCACCACTGCAAACAACGGGCCCGACTGTTCTCTACTGGCTCGAAATGGGACACTGGCTGCTGGCCTGCTCCTTGGACCGAACGCCTCCAAGGAGACTCGCCTCTGTTTGATCAGTTTACACCGATCGGAGTATGTTAACACTTCGAACACCGGAAGCCCGGTAATGGGATTCTGTGCGATTATGCTTTATCGGACAGTAGAGCTTAATTACCGACGGTGACTTAATTGTCTTTGAAAATTGCTGATATGTAATCGACTTTTTAGCAGCGAATTTTATTCGATAGCTAACGGCACATTGTAGATCGCGGGTTTTCATTGTATCTTCTTAGATTATTTTAAATCATTGTTTTACATACCAATTTGGAACAGCTTCGAGTTCGCGCGACCTTATCGACAGGGTTATTGCGCCCCGATATCTGTTACGACGGGAAGTAAAAGCTTTTGCAAATTCATTATACATACTATCAGCGAAATAAACAATCGACTTGGAAACGCGACACAGGTTAACGTTAAAATTGCGTCTAGCAATAAAAATCATCCTGTATCTATAATAATGTGTCATGAAGTACCATTACGAGTACAATTGAGTACAATTTGAGAAAACTTGGGAAACTTCGGCAACGCGACACAAATCAACGTTACAATTATACATATCTGACAATAAAAAGATGAGCCATTTGTAAATCATCTTGTCACGAAATACCTCAGCAATTTCGACGACTATAGACTAAACGGCCCGAGGTGATTCTAAGTGGTAATTTATATCATGAATATCAAATGTAATTCAATAGCGAAACATGCCTCGTCTACATCAGTCACTTGAATCTTCCTCGTTCGAACTTTCACCGAATTTCCATAAAATATCCCTATTGCTTTCGGTCGCATCATCGCTACAAGACTGTTCTCCGTCAATTTCCATTTCTTTAACCCTCGCACACTGTCCTCATTCGATTCGGCCCGGTCTCTCCGTTTTCGATCACAGCATCCATTACGAAAGCACAATACGAATCTTTTCCGTTGAACTTGAAAATTTCGAAACGCGCGTTAACTTCGAATCGATTCAATTGCCAAGACATGGAATGCGTATAAATAGTTTTCGAATGGTCGGCTGTACGAGAAAACAAACGTTGTTTTCCATTTTTCCAAGTTTCGCTAAATATAGCAAAGCGCCGAGACAAGTCTAAACGCGATTGCGCATACGTTGACCCGCCGCCGGCGCGGCGAGCATATCAGCGGCGTCGATAGCGTCCCGGTGTCAACGAAAAATCATTTTTGTTTTCCAGCACCGTATCTCCGGGCGGCCAGGCGAAGAGAACGATACCGAAATCTGTTTGCTCGGCTCCTCGAATTCGATAAAAGCCGCGCGCTCGTTTATTTGCTTTTTCCACGGTGGCAATTTTCTCGCGGCTCCGCGGCTTCAACAACGTTCCCGGGGAACGAACCGTCGGCCATTGTAAATCCTCCGGGGGCCACTGTTATATTCATATTTCTCGCTACCGGTCGAAGGCGACGGCGTAACAGTTGCAAATATGCGCGTATATCGGTGTATTTTACGACGCCGCGCGACAGAACGCTTCGTCACCGAGTTCAAGGCGCGCGCACGTTGATAACGCCTCGTTTGCACGCTGCCTCTGGCATTTATCTCTCTTTCTCTCCTGCCCTTCCTTTTTTTTCCACTCACACATCCACGCAGTCTCTTTCTCTCTCTCTCTCTCTTTCTCCTTTCCACCACGCGAACCCCGTTATATTTGGTATTCTAAATAAAACGCGGAGCGGAGAGGAGAGCCGAGAGGAAAAGAAGCAAATAAAGGATCGCGGGCGAAAAAAAAAGATGGTCGATTAATTATCTGCCGGTGGTATCGCGACCGGCCCGGGGATTACGACACGGGAATCTTTATCTGAGGCCCGATTGCCTGGCCCGATACCTGAGGAAACGATGATTTACATCGCCGAGATCTCACCCTGGCCGACGCCGACGACGTCGTCCTCCTCCTCGTCGTCGTCGTCGTCTCTCGTCTTTTACGTAACCGTGAGTGCACTTATGTCTCCGACCCGTCGGTCTTCGTGCTCTCGTTCGTCTTCGTCGTTGTCGGGGTCCGTGTAATCTTATCGTCGCGGAACGACCCGGCGACCCCGTGTTTTCTGTCCCAAATCCAAAAAATTTTATCGAATCTGGAAACCGCTGGCGCTAGCCGAGAATCCAGCTTACGAAACAGGCCGAGAGCTATCGGTAAATAAAGTCGGGGAACAGATAATCCACCGGGGGAAAAAGAGACCGACAGCGAAACTGTACGAATACGTTGCCCGTTGCATCACCGTCCCGTTTTGTCCTCCGCGGCTCGTAAAACCCATCCTCTTCGACCAGAGGAGAAACACCGGACAGACCACTTGCTTTCTCTAGGAAACGCTGTTTACCCCGTGGAACCGCCATCTTGGGGAGCCGCGTTCGGTCGACTCGCCGTTAACACAACTAGGCTCGCAAACCACTATAAGAGCAACTGTTTTATATTACTTGACAAGAGTGTATCACTTGCCAAGGGTAATATATTTATTCGTAAATACATTCTTCATAAATGTATCTTCGCGATCTCGATAATCATAAATTAAAAAATCTGGAATCCATCATTTTCGAGGATCTCGTGATCCTAGTGTTAATTAAACAAACAAAGCTCGTGATTACATGGAGCAACGATGATTAGGAGAACACTCTGGCGAACGCTCTCCAAAGATATCCGCGCGTTATCTGTCCGGTTGTGATCGATTTGATAAGGTCATATGGCGTGGATACTTTTCTGCTCGTTCATCATTATTTTCTACTTTTTCTAGCTTGCGCAGGCTATATCAATTCTTGAGGATTCGATGCTTAAAAAGCTGGGTCTTAATAACATCAACAATTTCACCGATATAACACGATATTTGTATTTCATTTCGTAGTAACAATTTGTTAAGATTCTAGCTAAGAATAAAATTTAATGCAATGTTTATCTAGAATTAAATTAACACATTTGTTTTCGCCTGTTACTTGGGATCTATCACGACTCCGGTCTAAGAGTTAAAAGAAGAAATGTAAAATCGGTCATTTCGACCAGAACGATAGGTTTAGTTAATATTAATTGTTGAAATTCGTAACTGGACCGTAGATCTTGTGCATGTGATGAACGAAGTACACAAAGAATTAGGACGAGTTTAAGAACATAGAGGATAAGGGAGTACTTGATGGCAGGATTGCCTACTCAAGGGGCAGAGATGAGCTAGAGTCCGAAGAACAACCGCGAGATCATCCTGTTACAAATATTTCTCAGCTCAAAAAGAGAAGATGTAGAAACGTATAATAGAAGAATTTGCATCCGAATGCATTCGAGGGTGAAGTAACATTCGGCGTTGATACAGCTAAAGCGTTTCCGATAAGATGACGATCTCAAATTCCTGGATGATCTTGATTTTCCTCGGAACGATCGACGATTCGCGAAAGGTTTTTAACGCGCGCGTAAGTGCGTGCGACGAGGATGCGTCTAGAGTTGGCTCGTTTTCAAGGAGTAAAACGAGAAACGAAAGAAAACGAAGGGGAAAGGAATTGGCCATCAGGGCCAGTGACACGAACCGCGATCGGCATATTTCCTTGACCACGTCATCGTCGAGCACCGGCCCCCGTGGCAGGGCGAGAATTTGCGGAGTGTATTAGTAGGCCATGACGAAAATACCAGGCGGTCCGGATAGTAATAGCGAGAGCATCTAGACGGCATTGACCGCGCCCGAATCCGTGCAGGTCGTCGTTCCCCGTTCTACTCGCTCGTGTTCCTCGTGGTGGTCGTTAAAGTCGCATTTAGAGAACCTCAACTCGGGACGCATTTCAAAGACACATTTAGGAACGACTGCTGCAACCGGACGCGGGCTCGCATTCTTTCGCATATCGAGACCGGGCACCATTATCCCTGACGAACGCCGTCCCATTACAACCGCCGGACTTTCGGTGGTGTTGGCCCTGAAAAATTCACAAACAAATTCTGAGTAGTCTAGCTCTCATATCTTACACAGAAGACATGCAGAAATTTAGGCGTCGATCCAAAGAATTGTTCAAGATTCACGATTGACAAACAAGTACTAATCGGTTTAGCTCTACGCATCTTTTGCAGAAGACTAATGGGACTTTCGATATCAAATGTAAAATCCAAGATTCAAGATATAAACAAAAAGTTCTGATCTGTTTAGCCACGCATCTGTCACGAGGTACAAGTAGAATGTTCTTGAAAATATCGCATACTTCAGAAGCCTTTTCTTAAGCATTTCGGAAAGAATGCAGATATATTGATATCAGGGTTACGCATCGTATTCCAGAAGTGCAAGCACGTAATTTGATTATACATGCAATAAATAAACACCATTGGAAGAATCTATTAGAAAATTTAATACTTGGATCATATTATTTAGAACTCAATAAAATTAAACGAGACAGAAATACATATCTATGCAGTTCTTGTTTCCTATAATTAATGCACAGTATTTCGCGGATACATCCGCAGTTTAGTAATAAGGTGATGTATGAAAAAAATTTATTGGCACTTTGAAACGTCCTCGTCCGCAAAAGGCTTCATCATTCTACAAAACACGTCTATCTTCAACAAGACTTCCTTTATCAAAAAATAGAACAAAAATGCCATTGATGTTTCTCAGTGCTCGGGCTCCTTTGCACATATTCCAGAATTCGGTACAAGCCAGAAATGCATAAAGATCTGCAGTCCGGCAATCTTAGGAATAAATTCAAATTACGTACAAACGAGGCTCAATCCAGTCAAGGATAATGCCCGGCAGGTTTCTCCCGTTCGATGATCGTCAAGAATTCTCCTAGTTATCTTTTAGAAATTCAAAAAGGAGAAACCGGTTGGAGCGAATTCCACAACGATAGAGAGAAAGAGAGAGGATGTGTGTGTATGTGTGTATGTGTGTGTGAGAGAGAGAGAGAGAGAGAGAGAAATAAAAGGAGAAAGAGAGAGGAGAAAGGGAGGAGGGACGAGTTTCCTAAGCTACGTCGTGAAAGTGTCCTTTTATTTTCGTCCCCCTTTCTCGCCCCCTGCCGGGGAGGACTACGAATTTTCTGCTGACGATGTAACGAGGAAAGCGGCATACTAATGGGATTTCGCGCGAGTGTAACAATGTTCGCCGCGGGCACGACGGACGAAGAGGCAGGTAAATATTTAAGAAGTTCAGGCTTGCATATATTCATGACCGTCTTGCACCGGGAAAAGGAAAAGGAAGATGATGAATTTGCATTTGAAAACCCGGACGATTTGTGGGTCAGGAAATTTTCGATGTTCCGTAGTGGGATCACGGGACGTTAGCCTGAACCCCTCGTTTCATGGGGTTAATCTGAGAATTTGATTTGTTAAAGACTAAAATTAGTGAAATACCGTACTCGTTGTTTAACACCACGGAACCATTAAAAATAAGTCAACCCTAATATAAAATGATAGAGGAATTGAGCCTGCTTTCTTCCCTAGATTACAATGAACAGGAGGAAAAATTTGAATAGGCGGAAAATAATCTGACAGCATTGTTAAATTTTTCCGCTGAAGTTACAGTCCCTATTCACTTTTTTCATGAATACATAAAATCAGCAGTCCAGATATAATGGGCATGAAGTGTCTACACCTGGTCGAAGAATAATGTCACCCACTATAATTATGGTGATCGTATGTTCGTTATTTGAGGGGACAGACCTTTATTCCGCAGCTCCATCTTCTCAATTAATTCCTGTTTCAAACTAGCCATAAATAAATGACAACGAACTATTTCATGAAGTTTCGTAGATTAAAAGTAATCTCCGCCAATGGAGAGATCAAAGAATGTGCACTATTAACAAGTTAATACAATTGCCAGATAACAGTCTTTTCATTTCACCTCGAGATCCGCAACCCGCGACAAAAGTTCGCTCCTCGCCTCGAAATTTGGCTTCCGACGAAATTTTCGTGTCTGGCCAGTGCGCGAACGGCAAAACGGGGTCAATAAACACGGTTTACCTCTCGAAAGGGAACGCTCGGTCGAATGAAACCGGGCGACAGCGATACCTCGTGGAAACTACACCACCGCAGAGATAGGCGAGACAACGCGTTAGGGTCGACCTTCTCCCGGCATCAATAATTAATAAGCCTCGATAAAAATGTAAAGGCGGCCGGCAACATGGTGGGCACGTGACTCGCCAGTTTTGTAACGCAATGTCGTGCGGTATAACGCGAGAATGCAGGTCTCAGCGCGACTCCGTGCCGTAAATTGTCCTCGGTGCAAATAAAATTCCGCGCGTCTCGGGTGGCGATCGTTTCATAAGCGCCACGGCGCGTCGCGGCGGCGATGGGGGTCGGATGGGTCCGCATCGGGGCCAGCCGTTTAAATCAATTTCCACCGGGGACCCGATATACCGCGCAACAGCGGGCCATTTTAATTACCGTTAATGAGCCGAGGCCTGGGCCTAGCGAAACGCGTCTCTCGTCGCTCGTCGACAGGAATACCCGTGACTTTATATGCGGGACACGGCTCGTAAAAGAGACATTTATTGGCCGTAAAGGCGTACTGGCTGTATCTTCGACCCCTAGCGGGCCTTCGAACCGAACCGAACGGACTCGATGCGGCTCTCCGCGAGCCTTGCTGCCCCGTTTGATCGTTTCGTGGCAGTCTAGGACATAGGAACCGTATAACAATGGGGGCGTATGTCGCTGACAAACATGGGAGCGGCCTGTATTGGGTCGATGGTAAAAAAGAAAGGACAGGGGATAGAGAATTATATCCTGGCTCGACCTTTCTGCCCGTCGCGCCGCGCCGCACCGTTGCATGTATTACGCTACGTTTCCACCTAGGCGTGGCCTATGTGTTCCTTTGCCTCCGAACCGAATGCGCGTCGTGCTTCCGGTTTAATCTTCCGGGAATACCGGGGAATACGCGCGAATTAATCCTCGATTCTCCGCTAAAATATACAGTTAATCGCTGGACTACCGATCTCCACGCGAAATACAAATTTTCTTCATCTAACCGAACCATTTTTATTTTCCTTCTCAAATTCTTCACCGTTATATTCGAACGCCATTCGTCATCCCGAAAGCAAGGTAACATTTTCCGTTTGTGGATGCTACAGAAAAGTGCTCGATCATCTGAACTAATCATGAGAATGTGAACGTTGGGACAGGAGAACATTTACAGCCAGATACAGTGGCTACATTAAATCCGTCCTGATATTTACAATGAACAACGGTGCAAATGGATCGCTTTCGATTGAGAGAATTACATGTGAAACGCGTGTCTGTATGTTTAAATAATAAGGAATTCAGATGTCAGCGATTCAGATAATCGTGATTCTACCGTACAGTAAAGTGATCGATTTCTTCCTGGTTGCACTCTAAAGTATAATTCCGTTGACACTAAACGTACACTACACTAGACCTAGAACAATTTTAAAAGAACAAACGTGAACCTCGTTCATTTACATCGGGTACGGTAGGTTTTGTGTTACGATTTATCATCGAACCCAGTAACAAAGTACAATGAAGTGTCCTAATGTCTGTTACACCGGTTGACGAATGTTACGCCTCGTTGCGTTACGCGCTCCGTTCCTAGCGCGCCCTTTGCGTTTCGCAACCTTTGAACAACGCGTACGCGCGCCAGGCTTCCGGGAGCGCACGATTGAGAAATTGATATCGGGTTAATCGCGGGATTGAAATAAATTTTCGAGAGGGGGCGAGAGGAGCATATTTACGGCCGTGACCGGACCCCATAACCTTATCTCCTGATATTCGTGACGAAACGGTCCTCGCCCCTGCCACGAAATTATGAACTTTACACCGGCCGGCTATTTGCGGAGGATTTCCAACGACACTCGAGCACAATTAAGGCGTAAAAGAAATAGAATTTCCACGTGGCGAGTTCAACGTTTCCCGAGTTATTTCTCTCTCTCTCTCTCTCTCTCTCTCTCTCTCTCTCTCTCTCTCTCTCTCCCTCTCTCTCGGTNGAGATAGGCGAGACAACGCGTTAGGGTCGACCTTCTCCCGGCATCAATAATTAATAAGCCTCGATAAAAATGTAAAGGCGGCCGGCAACATGGTGGGCACGTGACTCGCCAGTTTTGTAACGCAATGTCGTGCGGTATAACGCGAGAATGCAGGTCTCAGCGCGACTCCGTGCCGTAAATTGTCCTCGGTGCAAATAAAATTCCGCGCGTCTCGGGTGGCGATCGTTTCATAAGCGCCACGGCGCGTCGCGGCGGCGATGGGGGTCGGATGGGTCCGCATCGGGGCCAGCCGTTTAAATCAATTTCCACCGGGGACCCGATATACCGCGCAACAGCGGGCCATTTTAATTACCGTTAATGAGCCGAGGCCTGGGCCTAGCGAAACGCGTCTCTCGTCGCTCGTCGACAGGAATACCCGTGACTTTATATGCGGGACACGGCTCGTAAAAGAGACATTTATTGGCCGTAAAGGCGTACTGGCTGTATCTTCGACCCCTAGCGGGCCTTCGAACCGAACCGAACGGACTCGATGCGGCTCTCCGCGAGCCTTGCTGCCCCGTTTGATCGTTTCGTGGCAGTCTAGGACATAGGAACCGTATAACAATGGGGGCGTATGTCGCTGACAAACATGGGAGCGGCCTGTATTGGGTCGATGGTAAAAAAGAAAGGACAGGGGATAGAGAATTATATCCTGGCTCGACCTTTCTGCCCGTCGCGCCGCGCCGCACCGTTGCATGTATTACGCTACGTTTCCACCTAGGCGTGGCCTATGTGTTCCTTTGCCTCCGAACCGAATGCGCGTCGTGCTTCCGGTTTAATCTTCCGGGAATACCGGGGAATACGCGCGAATTAATCCTCGATTCTCCGCTAAAATATACAGTTAATCGCTGGACTACCGATCTCCACGCGAAATACAAATTTTCTTCATCTAACCGAACCATTTTTATTTTCCTTCTCAAATTCTTCACCGTTATATTCGAACGCCATTCGTCATCCCGAAAGCAAGGTAACATTTTCCGTTTGTGGATGCTACAGAAAAGTGCTCGATCATCTGAACTAATCATGAGAATGTGAACGTTGGGACAGGAGAACATTTACAGCCAGATACAGTGGCTACATTAAATCCGTCCTGATATTTACAATGAACAACGGTGCAAATGGATCGCTTTCGATTGAGAGAATTACATGTGAAACGCGTGTCTGTATGTTTAAATAATAAGGAATTCAGATGTCAGCGATTCAGATAATCGTGATTCTACCGTACAGTAAAGTGATCGATTTCTTCCTGGTTGCACTCTAAAGTATAATTCCGTTGACACTAAACGTACACTACACTAGACCTAGAACAATTTTAAAAGAACAAACGTGAACCTCGTTCATTTACATCGGGTACGGTAGGTTTTGTGTTACGATTTATCATCGAACCCAGTAACAAAGTACAATGAAGTGTCCTAATGTCTGTTACACCGGTTGACGAATGTTACGCCTCGTTGCGTTACGCGCTCCGTTCCTAGCGCGCCCTTTGCGTTTCGCAACCTTTGAACAACGCGTACGCGCGCCAGGCTTCCGGGAGCGCACGATTGAGAAATTGATATCGGGTTAATCGCGGGATTGAAATAAATTTTCGAGAGGGGGCGAGAGGAGCATATTTACGGCCGTGACCGGACCCCATAACCTTATCTCCTGATATTCGTGACGAAACGGTCCTCGCCCCTGCCACGAAATTATGAACTTTACACCGGCCGGCTATTTGCGGAGGATTTCCAACGACACTCGAGCACAATTAAGGCGTAAAAGAAATAGAATTTCCACGTGGCGAGTTCAACGTTTCCCGAGTTATTTCTCTCTCTCTCTCTCTCTCTCTCTCTCTCTCTCTCTCTCTCTCTCTCCCTCTCTCTCGGTGGCCGCAGACACGGTAGGGCGCATTAAAAATATATACGGGACCCTCCGGGGTACACCGAAATAGTTTCGGTGTGTACGAGATATTCACCCCCCGGTGATTATCTGTGGGGGATAATTGGGACATTCCTGCCTAATAGCTTGCAAGATGCCGGTCGCGAAAAGTGGAGTAAGCGTTTTATTGAAGAAACACGTCGTACAGATTTCACAAAATTTATTTCTGGCGATGCCAAAACAATACAGGCGATTCGTTTCAGAAAATGAAATGTACTTCGGCGGATCTTTGTTTAATTCGATACAGTGGGCTATTTATAGAGTCGCGCGCGGGCGTTACAACCTTCTGACCTAGTGCCAACCTTCGTTTTATTTTCCAACGTGGTAACGAGCGGTAGACCGATCGCCTGCCGATCCGTGCGAGGAACGTTGGAAACGGTAACGTATTACACGAAACCGATCTTATTTACTTGGCGAATAAAAAGGTCCGGGGAAACGATAACGATCGGTAATCGCCCGGTGATTATTGCCGTGAAATTAATGACCGTTTCCGGCGTGAAAAACGGCGGGAGGCGGGAGGAAATGCGTGGTTGAAACGTAACGAAATTGTAAGAAGGACAGACAGAGCAGATAACCCGAGTACTCAGTTAGCAACACGATCGTCCGACTATTACGAGGACGATAACGGACACGTATGTGCCCGCTTCGGTATCTGGGGTTATCGTTTTCCTTTTTTCTTTCTTTCTGGGGAGTGTTAACTGCGAAGGATCGGAGCGGAGCTCTTGGGTCATCGTGACGGCCGAGACAAAATTCCGATTCGTTTCATTCCGTCCCGAGATTGTGGAATATTTTTTAAAACTGTATCGAGTAATCCCGGGAACCTTCCAGAGATGCTACAAAAATTTACCAAAATATTTTTAGGTACGCGTAGATGCATCAAGATGCAGTCAAATGAAGCGCGAGTGATGGAAACTGGCTGTACGTATGTACATAGTTTAGAACTACAAAATTAAACTGTTCGGAACAAGATAAGAAACCTCGGTATTTGCAATTATCATGTGATGCAAAGTACAGGAAATTTTGCTGAGGCAGTCAGAGACCTCAAGGTGTCGGTCTGAAGTGTCTTGGTTATTTGAAATCAAATATTTTTGTTTGCGAGGGATATAATTTTCAGGAGAGCGGTAGAAGAGGAGGCTTTTCCTATCTATGGGAATTCGTTCCCACATGGGCAATATAAGAATATATCGGCAAGGAATACGCAAATATGGACGCAGTTCGCCACGACGAGGGTCTCCGCATCCGCTGACGTCGGACTGACCCCAAGACCCCGATGAACTTTGCACTACATTAACATGTCGATTTACAAGCGTTTTATGTACGCACGATTTCCGCTGAGAAAACGTTTCGAACGGCGAGCATCAACCGAGGAACACTGATTGGTCACACCAAATGGTCCTCCACTTTACCCTCAAATTAACAGGCAAGTACCTGACTACTCGCTCCTACATTTTATTTAACAATTTTCACACGTGTTCTTGCAAACGGAACAATTTAAAAGCTACCATTTAAGGATCTACGCCGCCATATTGGTGATATGGAAATTTTTGAGTCTCTAACGAATCTCGGTGTACGGTTTATTCCATCATTTACTTGACAGTGAAATTTGTGGTAGCTATGAAGCAAACTCTCCAGAAGCTTATCTCTCGACCCAAACAAGATATATTGATAACCCCGCTGCTTCAGATAGGGAACTAGGACTAGAAAAAGTTGTTCAGGATACAAGACATCGTTGCGTTAAAAGACGAGTATATTATATGTACTTCTTATCATCTTTTTTGAAGATAGTGGCTGCCTCGAGGTACATAGAGGCATGGTATTACAAAAAATAATATACCAACGAAATTCGTTAGGAACGTCTATGTACAATGTAAAATGCTTGATAAGGCTTGTTATAAATAGAATAACAATTGTAATGTAAGTTCTTGAAAATTCCTTAAAATTCCTTTTAATTATTTGTTTCAGTTTGTCGTATCAACAATTCTAGGTTTCGAAAATAAGAAGTGATCTTTCGGTGCGCGGTGTCAGTGCTGCTCTCTTGTGGAGCGTGGTAGCAATTAAACATGTAACCTCTCGATCGGAGAGCCGATTAAGTAGTATACTGAATGATCTATATTTGATTTTACTACTTTCTGGTAATATAGGAATCTACTCTGACGACGTCATGTAGAAAATGTCTACTGCCATATTATGTTTGTTACATGTGAATATTATTGTGTGTACTTACATGGTTCCAGGTAATTTATACGGAAAATGAGACGTTTCTTTTGATGTACTAATATCGAAGACTCTTGTAGTCTTGCATTTTGCGCAGTATGGTGAAATAATAATCCTTTAGCGAAAGAGAATTCGGAGGATTCGTGGGAGGTATTTCGTCGTCGGAATTCGTCTCCATTTTATCTTCTGTCGTGTCGGCTGGCTCATTTGTGTTGTTATTAACATCGTACAATTTTTCATATAATGCCAGAAAACTAAATTTTTGCAATCTCTTAGAGATGGACAATGAAAGAGCATTTAAAGCAGTTTCATATCCTTTGTCCAGGGCACTTTTGTAGTCAACTTTACCAAACTTCGTCTGTAATAAAAATTACTATAAGTTATGGTACATACACTTATTATTATCAATAATTAAATACCTTGGTGATAAGTGTGCTATATTTGGTTTTTGCAAATGATTTAAGGTTGTGTTTGCGAATCCACGCGCATTCAAGTTTATCATTGAAGAATGTGACAAAATATTGACTCTGAAAATTGCACGAGTAGTTATTATTTAATATAAAAAGACTTTATAATTAAGTAAACATTAAAACTTACGGGTATGGCAGAATTTTTACGTAATTTATAGTACTGAAATGTTTCAGGACTATCGCAAACTATTGCAGGCCACCATGGAAACCCACAAATATGAGCCCACACAATGCTACCAGCGTTATAGCAATTTTCAATTAAATCAGCCTCTATTGCAGATGTTTTAGGCACTTCTGGAATAGCACAAGATGCTATTGACTTATCTGTAAAATTAGGCAATAATACTGTAGTATAAAACACGCCTATTTCACCAAACATTTAAAAGAAGCTAACAAAAATATTTTCACACCAGAGTTCATACTGCAGTACCAAATGTTTGGTACATCTACTGGGTCATGATAGTCTTCAACATATCTCCATTTCTTACAATTGTTTCTATCGCACTGAATCCACATACCAACGTCTCTTCTAGCCTGCAGCCAATGCAATTTACCTTTCCAATCTAAAAGGTCGCTGCTTTGAGACAGTTTCTCAGAGTGAGAATCAAATACTGTAGAACAAACAAATATACTAAATCTACCACTGTACTAAAACTAAAGTAAACTATTTGATGCATTCCAGGTGTGCTCAAATTTTTACTTGTTACAATCTATCAGCTTAGAAAACGGCATTGTATCATACAATATCTTATTACAATCTTTATCCTTAATGGTAACATACTTCTACAATTAAAGTAACAGCTAGACCATACACTGTTATAGCCGAAAGTGGGTCAATTTGTCTTTGATATTGGTGTCTCTTAACGCTGAAGTGCGTTTTTGCTCATTCTTTGTACACCTACCTATAGTCGATTCCAGTGTTAAATTATTCCTAACGTTCGACGGATTCCTCGAATTATTATCTATAGCATTACTGTCGTTCTCTTTGTCATTAGTTTGTGTCTTAATTTTGTCTAGCTTTGTGTGTGATCTAGTGATCTGTTTCCGCGTCATATCGACACTATTACATTTTACTGTGTCATGTTTGCAAAGCAACATGTTGCCCGACTTTTCAGACACAGTGTCTGTGCCATTTCGCTTGTAGTCATTGTCCAGCTCCTCCTCAGTGTACTGCAACCTTTTCGGCTTCAGGTCCGCCCTTTTGGATTCTTTTTTGTTTTTCACCGGCGCTTTCGGCGTCACGACGGGCTTTTTTTCCATCGGTGGCGTCGCGAAGAACGAGGAGTTACGTATTTCACTGTCGCACAGACTTTTAGGGAAGAAATTGAACTAAAAACAGACATGGCGATTTTGCCAATGTAAAAATAAATAAATATATGTAACGTGAATAGGTCGACATTATTTTTTTCCTATGACATTACCTGAGGCAACCTATCTGCCGGCACATTATACTCCACCTGCCCGAATTCCGATTTCTTGAACAGCATCTGGGGCGTTTGATGCTTTGATCCCAATCGTTCGAACAGACAATTTTTACGCTGCATATCCTGCCTCTGTGTTGGTCCCGTAAAAATTAAACGTTTGATCGAATACAACTGAAGGAAACGACAACTGTTTTGGAAAAACAACGCTACAGAAAAATAATAGTTTATTAACCGGATAACAGCGCAATTTTGTTATGAAAAAAAAATCGGCGCGAAAGAGAAAATTTCTGAGTGAACGATAAACCCGCCGCGTTTGTAACGGGGTTCTCACAACGTCTCGCACGGTGTGTCGTAGGAACCAATGAAAATTTGGATCTAATAACAATCGCTAAGCGCACAAAGTATGTCGTTTAAAAATTCATTGAATAACCGTACTATTTTCACTAATATTTCACACGTAATTTTTTTGACCTATTGATGCATTATTTGTCCAGTCCTCGCGCGTGATAAAACGCTCGATATGAAAAGTATCATTTGCTCTTCAAAATTTAGCAAATGGCGCCAAAGCTGTGATTGGTCGGTTGATATTACGTTGCGCGCGGTTCAATCCGATTCGTTAGTACTATTTAAAAAAACAACTGTTATAACCGATAGGAATTTATAAAAAAGTACTTTATAAAAAATCAATTGCATTAAACATTGATTCATTAGTAACAGTTACGTAAAATACTGTTGCAATTTTCTTCAAATTTAAAAGTCAGTATAAATTAAATTTTAGATGAAATAATATTCTGCTGTCAGAGTACTACAATCGTTTACTAAAAATGACTGCTTGCATCATTTCTATTAACATTGGCGTATGAGTGCATCTACATGACTAACACCGAGTTCTCTATGGTAACATACACGTGTGTGTGAGAACACACTATACTATATTATCGTTCTACGTATTATGTATCCAAGTCCCATCATTTTCATGTTCAACATTATTTTTAGAAATGATACAATAATATAAAACAGACGAAATTTAAAAGAAAGAAAAAATATTTAAAAAACATAAACATATTAATATCCATAATAACTTCGATTTAGCGAAATTATTAAAGCAAGAAAGAATTTTGCACAAATATCCACGGAGTAATAGTAATTAAAAAAAAATCGATGTATCTATATTCGCGATACTTTTACGGCTTACGGGAAAGATAAAGCACGTCAACCGTCACTCTATGTATGTTTACACAGATTTTTCATATCACGATGTTTGTAATTCTTTATATCGCGTGATTCGAGGCTGGGAATTTCGTTTAGAAGTTTTTACGGTTTCCCAATGATTTTCTATTCGCGCTGCGCTCGGAAAATTGCCATGACCCGATCAAATTGTGTTTCGCTTCCGAAAATTGCCGAAGTGACGCTCGGCTCCCTCGGGTGGCCACATAGAAAATGGAGTTTGAGCGAGGCAAGCGAAGCAGCTATTCGCCATCGTTGATGGGCGCACAACGAGGGTCCTGAGCTGGCTGCGTCGTGTATCCTGCGATTAACCCGTATTTTTGTGCTTAATGCGAGCGAAAATTACGTCGAGGTGAAACCGGAACCGTCTGCGAAACGATTGAAGGTAAGTTTGCTTGGTTAGTCTGGCATTTAAGGGGTGAAACATCGAAGGAAAACTTGGGGCATTGGCGACCATCCGTTTACAGAACGCATAAACCATTTTCTGCGCATGCGCGATCGCGGGAACGATAAATTCACCTAGAACGCCGTACGTTTTGTCGACGTAAAGAATCCGTGGGACAAACGATCGGTCTGCCCAATAAACTTGCTATCTTCCATATTATGAACGAAAATGTGAGAACATTTGCATGTTATTTTATTGCAATAACGGACTCTTGACTTCTGTGTAAGACAAAAGTGTGCGATTTAAAAGTGAGCATTAACATCTTTTTCTACGCACCTCCGTTTCGTAAATTGAATTCCGTTTAATTTAATGTTCTATTCGTGTCAATTTACCGTTTGGTTTCTAAGTTATATATTCGATTTTTAGAATTTGTATACATTTGGTATGTATAATTCAAGTTATCATTGCAATTATTACATGCTTTTGGCCGAACTCCATTCCCGCCATTTTCAAATTGTTATCGTATTGTTGTTTTTAATAAATGTTTACTGTAATATAAGATTAGATTTTTTATTTAGTTATTTTATGTTCACAGAATTTACAAGATGTCATCTGCACAAATTGATCGTCCCACTAAAGTGGGTCAGATCAATAAAAAGGAGAATGAGAAATCAAGAAAAACTTTCAACTCCTCTCACAAGAAGCATAAGCACGAAGATGGTCGCCATTTTAAGTTCGGTAGGAAGCGTCTGCAGAGCTTCACCAGCAATGGTAAATTCTTTCCACCATATAAGCGTAGAAAGAAGGAGGGTGTCATTATACCACCAACCAAATTTCTGCTCGGTGGCAACATTTGCGATCCGTTGAACTTGAACAGCATGCAAGACGAGGAAATAAACCGAGCCATGAATGCTGTTACACCCAAATCTAGCCCGCTTCCTACACCTAAACACAAGAAAGAGGCTATTGAAGTCATTATACCTCCGAACATTTGTGATCCCCTGAATCTGTGCAACTGTAGTGATGACGATGAGTATGAGAAGCAACTGATCTCTCCAACCAAAAAAGGTTCAAAACGCAGAAATAGAAAGAAAAAAAGGGCGTCTTCTGGTTCTGGGAAGGATGATGCAAATGATCCATCTGAATCCAAGCCTAAAGAATGCAATACTACTGAAATCGCAGAGCCTATAGAGATGGCTGCACCAGAAAATGTTGAAACAGCTCAACAATGTGCACCATTGAACTCGCCACCACCGAACCAGCCTAAAGAACCCAAACCAGAGAGCCCACAGAAAGATAAAAACAAATTACGTTTGAAAGGTTTGGAAGAACCAAAGGATAAGAGATTAAGAAAGGTTGATGTAAAGGACAAAATTGTTAGTCCTGTTATTCCTCAACCCGGAGCATGGAAACCTCGTCCGCAACACCGGCCGAGTCAGGATAAGAAAAAGAAACAAACTATGCCAAATTTCCGAGAGAAAGATGCCCGTTATCAGTATGGTAATTACAATAGGTACTATGGCTATCGTAACTTTCAACATGAAGTAGACACAAGACTGACAGTATTTGCCCAGCGTAGAGAGTTATTCGTTCGGAAAGATGTGTTGGACATTGGTTGCAATATTGGCCATATTACTCTGTCCGTTGCAAGAGATCTGGCAGCTCACAGTGTAACCGGTATTGACATTGATCGAAAACTCATCAATATTGCTAGAAAAAATATCAAACACTATGTCAATTGTGTACAGTCTCCTGCTGGTAATGAAGACAGTGATCACCATGATGTAAACTTCTTCCCAATGTCTATGCCGATCAATTACGGACCGGTTGATATTCCAGGCTTTACAAAGAACAAGAATCACAAAGGTTTCCCTTATAATGTTACTTTTGTGCAGGTATTGTATCAAACTCAATAATTCAATTCGTACATTAAGCATATGAAACGTAACAAATTAAAACACTTCTTTTTTTAGGGTAACTACGTGCTCGAGGACGACGCTCTTCTCTGCACGGAGCAACCGCAGTTCGACACGATCCTCTGCTTATCCATCACCAAGTGGATACACCTGAACTTCGGCGACGCGGGCCTCAAGCAAGCCTTCAAACGTATGTATGCTCAACTTCGTCCAGGTGGGGTCCTTATTTTAGAGCCACAATGGTGGAGCAGCTACTCCAAGAAGAAGAATCTAACAGTGAGTATAATCTCTAAAGTAGTGCTTTTATTAATACTTATGGATATCTAAATCGAATTGATATCTGACTACGAAATTAGAACCCTACTTCAAAATGTATCACAAGTCGCTAATCTGTTCAAAAATACTAATTCCATCTTGTGTTTCAGGAACGGATATACAAAAATTACCAGAGTATCGAGTTTCGACCTCACAGCTTCACGCAGTATCTGTTGTCTCCCGAGGTTGGTTTCTCCAAGTGTGAAGTGCTCTCTATTCCCCCACACCCATCGAAGGGCTTTCAACGACCTATCCATCTGTTCACCAAGCCTGGATTGTCCCAAGAAAGTGCAGAGGCTTCGACATCGAAGCGGGAAGAGCGGTCGGTGGAGAGGCGAGAGCAAATTGAGCGCAGAGAGTACGAGCAGAAGCTGTTCCAAAAGGACAACAACAAAGGCGGCAACATGTCAGAGATCAGCCAGCAGAGCAATGAGTCTATGAGCCAGTATGATCAGCTGGAAAATGTTTATGTTCCCAGTGCGACGCCATGTTATGACACTCCTGGTTATACCAACGATAGTCAACCGCCAGACGCCTCGAAAATGTGTTACTTGGACGTCAGCATAGAGAATGATAAGATGGAGTCGGAAGAAGCGTCTGATAAAGCTGTGGAACCTTGTATCGAGAACGCAAAGAAGCAGAATCCGATAGACGGGAAAAGTTCTGAGAAAGTAGAGGAGACGCCTAAGTCCAGGCCGGATGAAGATAATACCAGGGCAGTAGAGATAAAGGAAGAGACTTTGATGCGTGAGAAGAAGAGCAGCAGCAGATTGGAGGTGCAGCAAATGAAACCGGCAGCTAAACAGATGGATTGTACAGAATATAAAGAAGATTCAAGGCCTGAAGATCAGAGGGAAGGGAACAACGGATCAAGGAGTCCTTGCAAAGAGGATCGGTCGGTGACGCAACGCTACGAACTGACCTCGGACAATACGTAAATTAGTACTCAGAACGCTTTTTGCGTGGAAAACGAGCGGTGCTATCAACTTTTGGCTGTTTGGTGATCCATTTAGTTGGCCGACCTTTTCGTTTTCATTCTCTTTCATCTGTCTTTCCATTCGCTGACCTCTTCGCGAACAATTTTTGTAAAAAGTCGCGAGGCAATCTCGATAATGGACGCGGAACTCCACGAAAATCTCGTTCTATTGATTCCAACGACAACGATGACGAATTCGAAACTCGATCCGCTTGCGCATGTTTAGAACGAAAAGAGTATTATTCTCTAGCGTTTCTCTAACTGAGAAACGTGACACCCTTTTTTTTGTCTTGTTTACGTTTTGTTTCTTCTTTTTTTAATTTTTTATTGAAAATTGAATTATACCGAATAAAAACTTGTAGGTGCCCCCCTCGCAATACCTGGTGAGAGTTTCAGTGTGTTTGTATCGGTGTGTTTGAAATCGATCTCGGATGTTAGTGAAGCTATTGTTGGAGTAAAATCAATTGGCCTATGTGGCGGATTTCTGTGTACGGGTAGGAGTCATGCATTTGGGTAGAGGCAACGACCTTGACCAGGCACTTTATTGTCGCGGGCATAGAATTGAATAGGAAAATCAAGTGTTCCTCGTCTATAGCTTCTAAATTATAGTTTCTTACTAGTTCATCTTTCTTAATAATATCATCAATTATGGGACATACTGTAGAATCATTGATACAATCGATGGCCTTGTTTACACAGTATAGGTAACAGATAACTAGACAGTGCATATCTTTTTACATCAATCACAAGAGACAGGCAGAAAGAATTTTTTTTCTCTTAGTAATTTTAATAAACTGGACATAAGTGGAATAGTATTTATAATGTTCTGTATTTTACTAATCCACGTTTGTACGAAGTGCATGAAATCCGCAACAATAATTACCAATTAAGTTTGCTACAACTGTAGACGACACTGAGATGTTCCATTAGAGAGATAACAGCGTGGAAGGAGGGGGGATAAGAAGAAAGACATAAACCAGCACTGTACACGATAGAAATTGTATCGCTTTTACGTAGCACGAATGTGATAGCGAGGACAGGGCGTGCTTTATCCTAGCTGTGTCTAACGCGAGACAAGGGCAAGGTGATGCGCGAAACAAATTCTAAGTACCGTGCCTAATTATGAGCGTTTTCTTATTGTTCGCTGTACTGTCAGGAAGCACGTGTTTGATCGACAGAAGACTGACCGTTTATTTTTCCTTTTTTTGGCTTTACCGTGTCTTTCGACTGTAAAAAGAAATCGGAATGATAGAAATTGCGAAGTGCTAGTTATCCTGCCGGTGCCATATCTGTACTACCTGTAAAAACGAAGGAAACGAAGCAGGACAACCAGCACCGGCAGTTCAAGATTAGAAAATCGTGAGGAAAACGACGGAAAATATTCGAATTATGGAAACCAATCTAAAATAGACTAACTTTTCTAAATTGGATCAAACAACTTGATCTCCTAACAATCGAATGAAGTAGCTTGCTTCAATGTTACAAAGAGTTACGAAGTATATTCACTTTCGAAAAGAAATTGTACTAATTCTAATCGATTGACAAGGACTTTGTCCGGCCGTTCACCGTAGATTATTTGATAAGGATCGTTGCGGGGAACGTCCCAGGATTGCTCGATCACCAGTCGCCTGCGGAATGCTTCGAAGAGAGTACAGCACACACTCGATCACACTGTTTCTTTCTATGAATATGATTTTGTTCTCCGTTGTTTGTTTGATCGCGTGTGGAACGGAAGTAAGTCGCGAGGACACGCGAGCGGTGTTATATAGAGAGGCGAACTATTGGTCAAAGACTCTAGACTGTAGACCTGTAAATTTGTGTAATTTTAGAGGACCCGAGCGTATTGTTTCATATAGTTGTTATTTATTTATAGAGAGAGAGCGAGAGAGTGGGAGAGCGTGGTTACGAAGAATGAGAAGACATAGACGAGATAGTCGAGAAAGTATTATTTCTATCGCGTTGCTCGGCGCGATCGATACCGAGGCGAGATGAATACCGAAAATTTTTGCTACAAAACGGACGTTCTTTTGTTTCTATCAGCATTTTCGCGCGGAAATAATGGAGCAGAGGTGGTGAGAGATCCATTATCTAGTCTGTGTGCATCACGGAGGTGGAACGACAGCGGTGTGGCCGCCATCCTTGCCCTGAAAGACGCGAACCTTCCTCTCGATTTAAAAATTTCGCCGGTCTTTCTGTTAACGTTTTACGGATATCTTTTTTTCTTGTTGAATCCACCGTATCGCTTCCTTTATACACCTTGTTTGTTGCAGCTCAACGGTGACGAAACCGACTGATTATCGTGGAATTCAGAGAATAGAAACACTCGAACAATGGAGGGAAACGAGATAACGGGATCGTGTGGCGGTTACGCGGTCTTTCTTTCCTCAGAGACTGAACAAACGTAACACGACTTTTCATTTTTGCTCCTCTTCCCCGTCTGGCGCGTGTTTATTTCCATTCCTCGAGCGTCGATCGTCCGCGAAAGAGGTTCGCGGACGGTCGTGGACAAAAAAAATCAGCACAAATTCGACTCCGGGCGCGATCACTTTTCCATGTTGTGTGTGTTGAGAGTGTGGAACTGAGAGATGAACCACTTAGATGCTTATCAGGAGCACTCATAGTGTAAAAGAACAAATTATTAATAAAGAATCGCTTTGAGTCACTAGCCTCTCTCTACTTGCGCGGACCAATAATTTAAGATAAAGACTGATCCTTCAAATAATATTCCTTTCATCCTTTTCATTCTTTTTAATTGCTTCTAATCATTTTATAGGATTACCCTTATGAGACTTGATTCTTCAGATGACTGTGCACAAGTCTAGTTAGGCATTTTCGTAAACGTGATTTTTAAAGTACTCTACCTAGACACGTTGATTCTCTTTTATAACAATTAATTCATTAAGTACTAAGTATTATGTATTGACCTGGGCACCGCCATCCATCAGTGAAGGGACTCATCGATCCAAGGATAAGTTCGTGGTGTATCTAATGTGCAGAATTTATTGTAGTAAGATAGCTTCTCTACACTGTTACGTCTTTATACTAAAGATTACGGGGAATCGTTTGAATCCTCCTCGTTCTATCCTCTCCTGTTTGTTTTCAGGACGCATCGAAGACCAAAATTCAGTCCTGCCTGCGACACTCGATCTTTCGTAAAATCTCTTCTGCACGGGTGGGACATTAATTCATTTGCATCAACAACGTCGAAAGTTTAACAGTTCTTTGAACTGGACGCAAAAACATTTTTTTTTGTAGTAACGTCACGCAACGGATGCAAAGCGGGACACAAACTCGATGATGCAAATGATTTAACAAATTGCTCGCAAAGTTGCGCGCGGCGGAAAGCTTCGATATCGATTATTGAAGAACCTCCGTTCGACTGCTCCAGTTTTACAAATGTAGAACGTAAAAAAGGGATTCCAATGACGCGGAACTGCTGTTGGAGCTCACATCCCTCGATTCTCAGCTTTAAGACCAAGCCGGATGTCTCGTAAAGTCGTCCTACAAACGATAATTGCCTTATTATCAGACTTGAAAGTAGAATTTAAGAGCTATCAAAAAAATAGGCGACGTTATCTCATCAATTTCCTTTGAATTATTTCTGAATCGTTCAAGCTACTAACGACAAAACCCTGGGCTAGCCCCGACACCTTAGAAACGCGTGATTAACGTACTACCATTTAAATGTGACTAGAACACCAATATTTTAATTTTCGAAGTCAACGTACGAACGACTGATTGTAATTCTAAGAGTTCCGTCAAAATTTTGCTCCAATCGCAGTTTCGCGGTGAAAATCGCTCGCAGAGGAGACTCGTGATCAAGACACGGTCCTCGTGTCGAAACAAACTTCGAAATTCGATGCCTTGGCAGTGACGATCCCGTGCTTACGGCCTACCGCGACTAACAATGACAAAATTCTCGTGTGTCTACGCTACGTTATCTCATTGATAGCAACATGTCGCTTAAACTCTGTTATACACTATACTCGATCCACGGTCGTTCTTCTAGAAACGGTGAACAAGGGGGTGTAGGGACCGACGGGGCTGGCTCGTTGACCCGCAACACAGCATTGTCCCTAGGATCTTCGAAACGTTGAAGAATAAATAAGTTGAACCGTCGTGTGCCCTGACACACGGGTGCATGAATTGTGGGTGTCTCGGTTTCGTTTAAATAAGTCCCGTCGTCACGGGATTACAACTATTGTTCGTTTCTTAATGACTACCAAGGGGCGCCAGCGCCCCGATCGCTTATGCTCGCCTCGAATTGTCTCTAGACGCGTTATCATCCACGTTTCTCAACGTGTACCACGTTTTTTCGCGGTCCGATAACGCGTTATCGAGCAGAGAACAAGAAGGGAAGATAGATCTTCCTGTCCCCCAACTACGTCTGGAGTCTGCAGACCCCGTAAACGTATCCCTCGAACGATTAGGCTCGTTCTCATAAATAGCGTCTACAATATCTCTTCAATATTGTCTAATCGTATTTTTTTCTACGGTTTTCCATGTTTTCCTCTGTTTCTTCGACACGTTCTCAGCGCTCGGTCTACGTTCGGTCATTCCAGTGTCTACGATGTTTTTCACTAAATAGAAAATTCTGTTCTCGTATTCGTTTCAATGTGAAAACTTGAATTTCGTAAGAGGTCCGTGCCTCCCGGTGTACAGAACATTTAGCGAGGGCTAGATCAGGCGAAGGGGCCCGAACAACAAACAATGTCTACGCTTCTTTTAGTACCAATCCGTCAGAAAATGCATAGATCTTCGAAGGTGCCCGAATACTGTGTCGGGTGCGCGGAGACTCGAGTCCGCTGTAAAAGGTGAAAGTACCAAGACAACCGCCTCGTCTTCTCTTTTACCGAAATGGTAATTAGCTCGTCCGATCGGTGCCCGATTACTTTCACGACGGGTCTAAGGAAACAACGACGAAACGCGACGCGAACGGCGCTAAATTGTTCCAACGACCTTGAATGCGATTCCAAGAAGATGTGATCTCTTGAAGAAAACTCGCTCAGCGATAAGGTAGACGTTCGCTGGTCGATAAAAAAAAGTCGTTATCGCGGATTGAGCGACGATCGACGACCTGGCTGAGATCTGCGAACGAACAAGACTCCGTCCGACGGGTCTCGGCCGTTTTATTCGTCGACCAGCTCCCAAAGCATCAGCGCGGCGTCGGTTCCACCGACGGTGACCACATTCTGATCGTTGTAAAGAAATCTGGCGCAAGCTACCAGCGAGCTGTACACCTTCTCTTCGATGTACTCTGCTTTTGCACTGGTGCAAGGGTATCTGAAGAGTCTGAGATATCCTTCTGCATCCCCGCTGACCAGCATGTCATGGGCCGCTGATCTGCTGGACGTGGTCAACACGGTTGTCAGAGGATAGTAGCGATTGTTCCACATTCCTAAGGACACAGTTGGACATTTAGCTCCTAATTTTGTGCGAACTCTATAATAGATGAATCACAGTCTTCACTTACCAGACACCATGTAGCCCACCATGCAATTGTGAGTGTACCACTTGACGTCCTTCATTACTAACGGACTCTTTTCCGAAGACAAAGCCTTTACGTCCCCTAAACATTTTTACATACTTAGTCTATTGTTGTTAAGTGTGCTTGTAGATTTTATCGAATAATGATAGTTACAGAATACTAGGTCATAGTCCTGAGTGACAGTCTGAAGGAATCTGCTATCCGAACTCCAATCCAACTGAACCAGCGGTTGCGTTCCTCTGATCTTGTTGCTCTTCTTGTACGAGAACCCGTCTCTGGATACTCTGAAGAGATAGATGCTGCCGTTCTGAGACCCCATTGCCACTATCTCTCCGGCTGTACAATAACATTGCGAGATAGTTGATTACTTAATTGTTTCAGCTAACCGGAAAGAGATAATAGTGCTAATCGAGATTGTGACTTACTTGGATTGTAGCCGATGCAGGACAACGGAGATCCGCAGACTCTGAGGGTAGCTACAGCTGTGCCAGTGTCTGCCGCGAGGACCAAAAGGTGACCCTCGGAGGATCCAGCAGCTAAAGCAACTCCGAAGGGGTGGAATGCTATGCAGATGCATTCGAAACCCACCTGGAAGAATGTAATTAACGCTTCAGAACCTCGGACAACATAGTCTCAAAGCAGAATGAAGTACTGCTCAGACTTTAAACGGAACACTCGCTTATCGAATTAATCGGAAACTGAGGAATCACCTGCGTCGTCCACAGAAGCTTATGCCTCCTCCACAATGCGATATTCTTGTCGTGACCCGCCGTGGCGAACACCTCATCGTCAGGGTGCACAGCGAGTCCCCACAATTGTCTACCATGGCCAAAGACAACTTGATTGAATCTTCTCTGAAGAGAACCCTCCAGGATATTATTCCTTGTGGTTCCCACGTATATATTCCCGTCGTTTCGGCCAGGTCGCTGCGGGTAGATGCTGCGAACACCGCCTACAGCTTCCGGTAGCTAAAAAGAAGTTCAATTAAGTTTAACTATTCAGCAAACGCGTAAATATCTCGTACTTTCATGTCAGTGATGCGTTTATAATTTTGCAGGGAATCCCACGCTGCAATCTTGCGATCCTTCTCTCCACCAGAGAGTAAAGTACCCTCCGACAACATGACGAGGGAGCTGATGCCCTTGTTGTGCGCTTCGAATTCCATTCGAACGAAATAGGCACCGTCAGCGTCCACTGAATAGACAGTGATGAATCCATCACTGTCTGCTGTCACGACATCGCCGTCTTGCTCGAACTGGATGCTCGTCACGTGAGTACGGGACGGCTTAAATAGCAAATTATTACCAATAATTAAGAGATGAAACTGTCTTGTAGAACAACGGTATCAGTAAGACGATAAATGAAAGCTTACCGGTTTGATGATGTCAGTTCTCTCAAAGAATCCATCTTTTCTCCGGTTCCAGAAGGTCAGATGTCCTCTACCATGCGTGATCAAGAGATTATCATCAAGAGGATGAAACGCAGCTCCAGTTAGGTCCTCTTGCATTGTCTGCAAGAATTCATCAAATTCATCAACTAGACTTGAACATCCAGGGTTATGAAGTTCGTTCAAAAAACTTACCGCCACTTTGCCCAACAAATGACCCCATTGCCACTGCCACACGGAGAGTATCGCCTCCCTGCCAGCGTCCACCGCCAATACATAGCTGCCTCCGTTCTGCGGAAACGTATCCAAAAGCGTTACGCGATTCTTTTATTTAGAATGCATGCGCGAGAACACGATACTTTACCAGCTGCGAGAACGCCAGTGCAGAGACGCCCATCTGGAACTCAGTCATCCCGAACACGTAAAGGGTGAGCAGGGTCTCTGTCGACCATATGCGGACGTGTGGCTGCGCCTTTCTGTGTCTGCCAGCTTTTTGTCCGGACGCCACCAACTCTCTGCTTGGGTGAACCTGTCGAGCGACGTGTTGAAATGATGCTTGCTAGCTTAGATTAATTACTGGCCTGCAGATCTTTACGCATTTATGGTATGTGTAAGTAAACATTTATATTACCAGTTCTGCAATCAATGAAAAGAATTTTCTTTTCAATACAGTAACAGCGTCATTTAAATTTTTTAAATGTTTTTATTGTTTTGCGTTGGATCTACTAATTTTTTTGTGATAAATGCATAAAATCCGCGGTCTACTAATTACTGTCCACCGTACCTCCATGCAGGTGATGTCCTCCGTATGGCCGACGTAGTGCCGTTGTGCATTTTCCTCTCTGTCGAAGAGAACAGCCACGGCAGCGACGTAGTAAAGGAGCTCTCCGCTGGGCAAGACCCAGAGATTTCTCCGTGTATCGGTTCCCCGATACCCGTAAACCCACTCCAGCTGCAGCTTCTTATCTGGCGGCGAGTTATCCACCGGAGGCAGGTGCGAGGGCGGATAGAATGAGCGTCTCAGCCCCCTGATCGTCACCCTGGCCGGTTCGTCGCGCAACACTTCGACGACGCTGTAATCTGTTGGCGTAGAGCACACGTTCATCAATCGATCGGCTTACTTGCAACATTAGATCGTGTAAAGAGTAGGTCAACGACATGGAGAACCGTTTACTCGGACGACGTCGGAGTCAGGGGCGTACAGAGCCCGCGGTCTGCTCTTGCTGCGCGCTCGTCGCTGCCGACCTATATCCTCCACTACGGTGGGAGGACCTCTCGATCTCGATCTTCTCGCCGGGGACGCTGTCACTGTGCCAACTATCCCTATCCCGGATCCCGTGCCCAGGTAGAACGTGTCCACGTCTGCGAACTCGTTCCTCAATTGGGAGAAGCTTCTCACCTGGTGGCAATTCAAGTGGGAACATTCTTCAATTTGTACTTATGTTTCTGTACTGATAAAACGATAGTCTTATCCATAAGATGGCAAGGTAGTTCATCAAAATAGGGTATGTTTGGCTTGATCAACGCTCAGAAAGGGCTTGAAATTTTTCCTGTACAGTTAGTGCAGTAAAGATTGCTGTTATTACAGGTATTGATGTTAGGGAACGTTCCTTCCAATATTGCAGATGCAATCAGCGCGTGACTAATGGTATACCGAAGAAAAATAGAAGGATGTGGTGTGAGGGAGCGGCCGCCGTTAAAATGAATGAACCAAGACATTTTCTAATGCTGGGATCGTATCGCGGACGTCACCGTTGACGTAGACATCGTTGCTGCCCGTATACGATGATGTACAAGGCAGCCAAATGCTCGCTAGGGAAAATTGGCCAATTTGAAATTCATATACGGTCGTGACCTGAAAAGATGGATCTCTGACCTTTTTCACGGGGGCCTCCGACCCACTTGCGCTACTTGAACCACCACTTTCGAATTAGTTACGTAATAATGCTACCGGTACATTTCTGGGGAATTAATGCTGAAGGTGATCAAACTTGTGAGTAACTAGATGACAATATTGAAAACAAAACACTCGTCTTTGTCTGCTATCTTGTGAATGTACCGGATGATTCATTAATTTGTAAACCCCATCGTTCATAGGCCAGTACTTGAGATCTTTACACATTAGCTACTACAAACTTATTAGTGATGCTATTATGTCTAAAGATAATTGCCAAAAACTTCTGTGAACGTCAGCTGAGGATGTTAAAAATTATCGACTACACAGAGTGCATATTGGAACAGTTCTTCCTTTCATATGATTTTTCTTGCAATAACTGGCAAATTGATGGATTTAATAGTTTCTTAACAATGTCTACGAAACGATTCATGGTAGATTTAAGCGACGACCCGATTCCATTTAGAGGCAAGAAGTCGACCCCAATATCGTCACGCTTCGTTTCGACGCTTCTGCCCCCGCCGGCCCATGCATATTTATGGACAAACATTATTCAAGCAGATTTTATAAGTACGATGCCGAGCCAATGTCTTCAGATTTGCATAAATCGCTGATAAACTTTCGAGTCGCCCACGTTTCGAGTCGTTCACGAATGTATGAAGGTATCGATCATAATCTGCGTCACTTGTTTCGACGATTTCGAGGACTGTCTCGCCTTTCGAACACTAAAACGATGATTTTGTGCAGATGGAACGTAACATCTGAGTTTGGCTGGGGATACGCGAACAATCGAAATGCGTTTACCTCTTGGCCTGAAACTGTGAACATCCTTTTGGCCCCATTCATCTTCAGCACCTGCCCAAGGTCCTCCAGTACCTCCTCGAATGGCTGCGAGGTGCGGAGGTTCAACAAAACGCGGCACTGGAAATTAATTCGACAAAATAGTGATCAACTTTCTCAAATCATTATTCACAATACTCTCTAATTTACAATCGAGTAAGCAGGGCGATTGTGACAACGAGTCTTTGCAGTCTCGGTGGAATTGCCAAGCTTCAAAATTATTTGTATGCCTGAGAAGGTTCTAGTTTCACTGGTTTCGTGTCACAGACCGATTACAAACTTTTGCTTAACATTACGTGCAACCAGCAGATGTATCTAGATGATATTTTTCTGTTAGTCACCTGGACGGTGTGGTCGTGATTGTTGACGATTCGTATGACGCGTCCGGAGGAAGGTTTTCCGCCTCCCGGGGGTGGTGCTTCGTCGGTGATGGAAGCTTTTCTGCTGAGACTTGCCACCGCTGGTGGTCTGCTCTGCCAGCCTCCGACACTGCCTCCGACACCTGCTCCACCCCTACTGCCTCCGCCACTTGGGCTGGTGTACCAGGTGTTGTTCTTCTTTCCGTAGCTGGCCGGCTGTTCCCCAAAAAGCATTTCATCAATTAAACCATCTTTCCCTAAACTGTAATCACATACATTTAACTTATGTTAAATTTGAATATGCATTTGAATATGCTATACTGTAAAAATTTCTATATCTGTCTTCGACAAGTCGGCAACTATTTAGATTACGAAATTTTCTGCAAATTTCTGATAGCTACTACTGTTTCTATTTCACGCACTAATTCTTCTAACGATGAGTATGCGAGTCAATTTATGTTCAGGGGTTGGAGAAAATAATGGAAACATCTTATACGTTTACAGAGTTCTTTATTAAGGGTGCAGGGACACCTCCGGGATTTAGTACAATCTGAATTCTGGAAGGAAAATTATCCAAGTCTCGAGTAACGATTTTAAAACAGTCTGTAGAGTTTCACGGCTGCTGATTTCAATTTGAAAGCAGTGTTTCCATTACTTTGTCCGAAGGGGGCGTATTTCGGGACCTGCAACATATCGGCCGGCAGCGAAATGACTTCAAAGGAATCGCTCATCAACACGACGAAGCTGTCGCAGCCCTCCCAGGACTCGGGGCCGCAGGATTCTGGCTCGGAATCAGTAAAGGAGTCCGCCTTCTCGCAGCCGGCGACAAAGTCCGGCTCCAGGTCCGAGCGGGACGAGGAACTTGCCGACTCAATGGTGGACCCAAATCACTGTTGCCCCCCCGTGAAACGATATTCACTCCAAAGAAACGGTTCCACAGACCGGACGGTTCACAGTTGTTCACATTTTTTTGTTCACTGCTGATCACGAGGGCCACTCGACGATCACCGTACGACCTCTAAATTCTTATGGACCCTTGGGAACCACTGGCCAATAAATCCTTTTGTTACAGGTGATTGGAAGACTTCACACGAACGTCGCGAATGGTAAAAATTGGTAAAACCGGAGGAACGCTGGCGTTCAGCCATCCAGTGCAAAGGAACCGATCAAAAACGTGGCCGTCGAAGGGATACGATTGTCTGGAGAGAGGGTTGTGTGGCCACTAGGTGCACCCCCGGCTGTGCTCGATGGACAACTGGAGGCGGGGTGTGCCATTCGGGCCGAGAAACCAGCCCCGGGGCTGCAACATCCCCTACCCACCATTCCCCGCTTTTGCGGAGAGCCATCGTGTCTCAAGGACAAACACCCACCCCTCGGTTTGGTCTTGGCCGAACCACGGGATCACCACCGGCTCCGAAATTCGAAAATCACGCCAATTTTCATCCCCCTTTGCTCTGGCACCCGTGTTTCCACCCCCCCTTTTTTTATCTCTCGCGTGTCGTAAACAGTGTTTCATGACCGACTTATCGTTACGTACACCCTTACCCTTTTTTCGCGATAACCTTAAGGCAGATATTTCCTTTGTGTAATCAGACCCTCGCGCCCTTGCCCACATTGTAGACAAATATAGCCCGAATGACAGGGTTGTTGAGGTATTTTAGAATTTCATCGGCCGACCCGCGGCTATTTTTGGACGCACCGGGAAGTGCTACATTGTTCCGGTGAATTTTTGGAAGGTTCTAATTCTAGGAACCCTCGCTGGTGCTAAATTTACCGCGTGATTGTTGGCACAGTGTCTACGAGTGCAGATTTGTTATAGGATTTGTTATAAAATTTCATTTTCCTTGATGGCTGATATCGTGCCCCTGTACAACTTTTTACAGAGATATTGTTCTTCAAATTTTCTTGGAAGCTATTTGAATTTTATTCATTTGACATCGTGGTTGATGTCGTGGCGCATTCGATCAGATTAACTTTTTCTTTGGATTTATAGGATGCAACAAAATTAAAGTGACAATCACTGAGATCAAGTTTAACTTTTTGAAGCTGTGTGGGAAATTATTTATGATCCCCCATATATGTATAGAACATTCGTCATTGTCACTACATATGCAATACCACATTTTACTAATGATTCTCGTCTCCATTTTCAGGGTGGTGCCAAGGATAGCTTCTCAAAACTTGATTGGAGGATAGTCTGCGTCGTATCTTGGAAGGAGCTAATCATGATAGACAGCTGGTAACACGGATATCTGGAACGCTGACAGACACCCGGTAATGAGGGTTGGTTGAAGACTTGAAAGCGTTCCCGTAAGAAGAATTAGGGAACGCCCACGCCCCTCGGGTAAAGTCCCGAACGTTCCCGGAAAGTGGCATCGTATTGGGCCAATTACACTGATTGGTTAAGTAGGGTCGATATTCAAAGTGCGCCGGGGAGAGAGGGCAGGAAAAAAAGGCCGGCGAGGCTAATAGTCTAATAAAACGACTTATGAATTCGAGACACGCACGCTCCCGAAGCAGTTGCGCCGGGGATTCGATGACCTTGTCATCGCTGGTTACGCGGACCCTTCGCAATTTATCAAGCGTTAACAATTTTTCATTCAACCTGAAGCGTATAATTTTTCAAGCAAAGCAAAGTAATTTGTTCTTGGCGCGGGTGAAATGCAATTTAACGTTTACCCGCGGTAAGTCCGTCGATCAGCCCTTAACCGGACTCGTGATTCTTGGCCTTTCTTTTTAAGCCTTTATTCTTAATGGAACGCTTCAAAATTTGTTACAAAATGAACAGAAATATTAATTTTTCTGCTGATGTTTGAATGCTCAATACCATAGCATTATTATATTAGTCACGTAACCAATTAAAGGTTCATAAAGATTTCAAGTTTACTGTGAGGATTTAAATAAGAAATTGTGTTCGGTTTGCAGAAGTCAAGGGTGCAGTCGGCGAACGATATACTCATTGAAAAATGGTTCGGCCGACCAATAACCGGATTCATCGTCGTGCAGTCGCAAAGCTATGCCAGCTTTGATGGGATTGGTATGATAATGGAAGCATAGATTAACACAGGGTGAAGGTCGGACCACCGCCTCACACACCCGAGCAACCCTTCCGGCAGCCTATCCTTTCTGTGACGTAAGCTTAACCCTTGTTGAGGTCGCCTTTGTTTTCTTTCTACCAAAACTACGCCAATTTATCCTTCGACTGTTTCTTCAATCTCTGTCATATTCATTGATCATCTCTACTTGTCCAAAATGCACAAGAATAATCCGAACAATTACATTCCATGATAGTTAACATTTACGTTCTCTCTCTTCATTTTTTTATAGGAATCGTGCGGTCAGTTAGTTAAGTATTGCTGTTCATTTTAGGACAGGATTGCAATTCTATCAGCAAGATCAAAATGGTATATCTTGCTCCATGTTAACTAACAATAAGCTGGCTAATGAATTCCTTTCTTGTTCTAATGCGGGATCGCAAACCCTAACGAAGGTTCTTCTAAAAATAACCACAGTGGACAACGAAGGGCTGAGCGAAACCTAATAAGTATGACAACATAATCCGGACGACTGTTAACGGGCTCGAGGCACGAGTCTTGTAAACGAGACACATTGCCAGTGAAAAAAACACGTTTAAATTAACTAGGTAGATAGGAAGAACGACACGTGAACGCAATCCTAATACGAACGTTATCGAACCACTAAAGCAACGCAATTGGTGCGCTAATTCAGAGCACAAAATTAAGCGTAGATGAACTTTTATTTGTTCGGAGTTGCACGGTTGTTCCTCCACGCGTGCATCGCATTGATAAGCGTTAACGATCGCGCTCCATCCCTTCGGTTTGCAAATTGTCTCCGTCGGAATAACAAATACCGCATAAATTCCAGCGTCGCCGGTGAAAATCACGTGCTGGCCCCTTAACGAGCCTCGTGAATTCCGTCCAAGGCTACCGGCCTCTTTATTGCAACTATCTGGAAGGACTTTCGCCCCATTGCGTTCCACAAAAGCGGCGACCAGGTACTTTCCTTTGAGTCACCAATGGAACACAAGGTTACCTAGCGGTCGAATAGATTTTTTATTTTATTGAAACTTGGCTAGAAGTTCTCTGTAGACTTTCAGTACTCTTATTCTATTGTCCCTCTTTTGTACTTATTGATCGCGGTATCTGAATTGTAGATTTTTAAATCGCTGAAAGTTCTAGCATCTCTTTCCAAGACCCCCGAGTCTCACTAAAACCAAGCATTATAGGTGAACAGTGACCTACGACAGTTTTTATAAAAATTATCACGGATCTCGACCACGAAGGCTCGCAAAGTTTTTAGTGTAATTCCTCGGCACGGCGCCGGTCGCTATCTAATCGATCATTTTTGTCATAATTATGGGGGTTGATACCGGACGAAAATTAAGGTTCGGCGGTGTCCACGGATATTGCGTGCCGCTGTTCACTAAACCCGGTAGTGCTCTACAAACCTCATAGATCATTCTTAGATACGTAGCTCTAGCGATAATTAAGTCGAATGTATATTGTGATAATCAGTTAGCGCCTTGCTCACGTTTGCTTGGCATGTTAAAATATATGCGTCCTATTAATTATTTATGAAATTATTGTTAAGACTTTGCTCTAGATAGATTAAAGGCTTGCGACCTTATCACCTGCATTTTAAATTGAAGAGAATAAATTTAAACGGCTTAATAATATTATTTATTTTTTGAATATTTTTAGGTACAACCCTTAACAGGCGGGTCAAGCACTTTTTATTCGAGTGAAGTTACTCCGAGGACGTGTCAATTGATCGAAAAAGGGGATGGAAAAAGAAAAATGGAAGTCGCAGGACCTCCATTCACAGAGTCCAGAACGTTCGCATCGTAATTTAAGAGGACAGCCTCGTAAATTACGATCCGCAGTCGCGCGTACGCGCGACCCGATGCACGTCCTCGGTGCAAGGCCAAGGTCACGGTGCAACAATCTTTCGGCCGATGGTATGCACCGCCGATCGAATGGAGGGTGCAACGAAAGTACGCGTGGGTGCACCCTCCGCGGGCCTGGGTTCACCATGGGTGCTACAACCCTTAACCTTTTCACGCATTTACGCGGTCGTGCACCCCTTGCGTTGATCCCTCCTTCATAATCTCATCCCAGCTGGTCTATCAATTACCAATGTAATATTGCGATTCAAGAAAATCATCCGTCTCCAACCTCGATAAACTATTTTCCAGAAATTTGTCTGGTACGGGAAAATTTCAGAACGATATTCGTAGAGTAATATAATTAAGAATTGATTGTTCCAGGTGGGCTACCTTAGCTGACTCAACTGTGCATTGGGGATCAATGGCGACCTTCAATCGCCGCCACTTCTTCGTAGTCTCATGGCAGAGTAAATAAGGTAGGAAATTAGTAATCCTGAAGCAACTGGTTATTTTATGCAATTATCTGAGTTTAGAGGGGGTGAAAAGTATAGTTTCTATTACGAAGTTGTTGTTGTAGGAAACTGTAGGCTTTTCATGAGACATTGTGGTTAGTACATAATATATTGCTATACTTTCAGTCACTCAGGCTGTAAAATAATAAAAAATAGTGGTCCTTTTCAATTAATTCTAATAGAATACGCAGGCTGTTTATTGATATTGATTCTCTGTTTCAGAAAATTGCACGATGTATTATTCAAGTCACTGTAGCTGCTAGACAGCAAGAAGCAGTACTCTCACCCTCTCAGATCTCGAAAACGAGTTCTTCCTCATCGATACGAACAGAATGCAACAAAGATCAAGAGTCTCTTCTATGAATGGAAGACTCCATTCGACGAAGTCAGGGTGAATATATTTGTTGACCATTTACCTCGATGATAAGAGACCGACGAAAGGTCGCGTCGTTGTACTTCAACCCTTCACCTTTGCCTGAACGGTCATTGACCAGGGATTATCATTCTTGCCAACCATTCGATGTCACCGAGATCACCAGTCGTTGAACCACCAAACAAAAATCATTCGAGATACCAATATTGTTCTGTTTCACACTCAGGATCAAGGTTTTGGCTACGTGAAAAAATATCGTTGTCTAATGGCGGCAAAAGGCGAGTCATGGTAAGACTTGGTTGAATTTTTGATAAAAGAAATGAAATGGAGAAACGTACACAGGGCAGAATGTCTACACGCCATCCGAATGCACGCGCGCGCGCGCGCCACGATAATTGGCCGATGATAAGGTCACTTGCACCGATAAGCTGTTCCCACCGTGATCGCCGGGTTAATTCGGCCTGGCCGGATTAACACGAAACATTTTTTTTCCATTTTGTTATCATGCGATCTGCTTCCAGACGTTCACGTGTGCCTGATCCCGCGCGACGATCGCCAGATCACGTTTAATATTAGTTTCGTGCTGAGTCGAGGCGTTAATACAAAAATTGCTCGAATGCTCGCGACTGAAGTTATTGTACCTTGCTAAGAGAACGTAAAGATCCCCTATGCCACTGGTCCCTGTGGCATGCTCTGTATTCTCAATTCTTTTTATATTTTCTATCAACCCTTTGCACCCGAAGTTACTTTAATTCGAAATCTAAAACATATTTTCTAAACTGCAGTATTTATATTTTACGTGACCTATGGACAAGTACAGTACTTTTAACAGTATTTTAAATACAAGCAAATTTGATACTGTCAAAATTATCCTGAAACGTGGTGTAGCAATTTTTAATGGTGTCCCAGAGTCGCCACTGAAGTGCAAAGGGTTCAATTATTCTACATCTGATAGAATAATCGTAGAAACAATTTAATATGGCAATTTTTCAATTAAAAATTAATTTTTATATTATCCGAGGGTCTGCAGAATGTAAGAGCAGAATTTTCACAGCATGATAAGTAAGTTGTATATCTTGATGCACCTACAACATTAAAAATCTTCGAATAAAATTCAATTCGACAATTCGCTTAAAGATTTATATCCATACCAGTTGAGAAGTTGAAAAATATAAGAGAGTTGAAACAAGATTCTCCGTATCATAGAAAATACAAAATATACAAATCTTCGAATAGAATACAATTTAATTATCGATCTCTGCGATTCCCGTTCCGCTAAAATGTTTTGACTTATGGTTGTAGGTTGGACAGTGGACGTTAGAAGATTGATCGAGCAGGGATAAAAAGCTCGCACCCTCGCCGAAGCATCAGGCTCGTGGCAAGATGGCCGGTTAACCAACGTAGAACGGATTATATTTCATTTCGAAGTGGTCGCAGTCAACCGTGGCAGGAGGGCTGCTTATGCATGCAAGGGTTGAAATCGTAATTGACATATATTACTGGGGGTGCGTGACGGCCGAGCGTGCCGCGACCGAGCTGAGTGTGACGCAAGGGTGGTCGTCCTGCGAATGTTCTGCGACAAGCGTGCCGCGGAGGGATAAAAGGCACAACGAGTGCCACAGAGTCGGGATGCCGCAGTGATTTACATATCGTCGATCGGCACACGTCATGTAACCGCGTTCCTATACGCACCGAACACCCACAACACGTTTCGGACCGGTTACTTTTTCGCTAGGACTCTTTTCGAATCACAGCCCTCCATCCATATTCATCGCGGTCGAACGATAAAACTGGAGTCAGCCTCGCAAAACGCAAAACCCGCACGATTTGAAAAGAAAGTTTACTCAGAGTCGGTAGACATTTGATGAGGTCGCGAGAAACACACCAAAAGGGATTGTAAGAGAATCGATCGAAGAAACGATAAAAATTGCAAAATTTCCTTTTTCGGTTTGTTTACAATGCAGGTGCCTTAATGTCGAGATAATTTCATTAAGAAAAATAAAGAATCAAAAATTGTTTCGAGTGTGTTCAAATAAAAAATAAAAAAACATAATAAAATAAAGTAATAAAAAATAATTAAATAATATGCATTCTTCCAGATCAAATGTTCGAGTCCAACATATTGCTTATCGGAGCAGCTCGCTACTTCGTCGACACGTGATACATTAAAAAGAGAAACGATTGTAGGAGCCGCTTTTGCAGCGTTGTCCCGGTATCTCACCTCGCCCCAAATTTCGCAATGTTCTTATCGGTTTTGGGCCGCCGCGGCGAGAATACGTTCGCATGGCTGTTGCAGATTAATTGCAGGCCGAGCGGTACGAAAAATATTTGCGCCGATAAACGGTCCCCGCGGGCTCGTAAATCTCAACGATACCCGACGTCGACGAGTTGTTTCCTCATGGGGTGGCAGGAAGGTGGAAAAGACGAACGGGCCGCATGCTTGGCGGCAGTCGACATTAATTGACATTATTACGTCGATCCTGCCGGCGATACACACCGAATTATCGAATAATTGTGCGGCCACGAATCTGATTCGCTCTACAACGCTGCGAACTTGCTCCCGGCATTGGAAGTGGCCACTTGCATGCCCCCGGCATTTTGAACAGTTGCATTTTTATCGCAAGCCGGTTAAATTTACTTCGACTATCTTCCGATCGAAATCTGGGACGCATTTGTTCCGGAGATGAAGCAGCATAAAAGTTATTCTCGACACAGTGTTTTAATATTATTATTTATTTGGTATTTACGGATCGAAAAAATCTTAGTTACAGAGATAAAGAAAATAGTTCGATAAGTTCTCAGAAGATTGTTGATTGAGATTACAGAAAACTCTTAGATTCGCCGTATCACATTCATAGTATGATAAACTAGTCGTACATTAGTCGTTTTCCACAGCACATTAATCTCGTTTTTGGAAATCCGTGTTCTAAAATCCTAATTGTCGGATTTCTTAGACTGTAATTGTATTGCAGTGTGCATTTATCCGAAAGATCGTGTCGCGTTCAACTCTCGTTTTACTTTCGCACGACTGCCGCTATAGCCTCGCGAGAACTATAACAAGCTGTAATATAAAATTTATATCCGACAATTTGAATACGTCGCGTTGACCTGTGCCGAGGATTAACCGAGAATTGTGCAGAATGTCGCCATACGTACGAATATGCGTGACATTCCAATTAGTCGACCGGGAATATTTATGCAAAGTAACTAGTTTACTGGAATCAAACGGGAATTCGTGTGTTAAAAGAACAAGTAGGATTGCAATAACGCAAAAACCTCGTGAAATTTCTTAATCGTTTTCAGACCGTCAAGTTTTCAGATGCCGCACGCTATGAATCCATAGAGGCCGCGCTCTAACGATTTGGTTGAAGTCCGGCGTAAATATCTTCGTTTTTACGGTGAGTTTCGTCTTAGAAAACTAAAGCAATTTCTTAATCACGTTCGCTAATAATTTAATAATTATTTTTAAATTATTTGTAACAATCGTTTTTAGAGCGACAACGATCATTTTCAATAGCCTCGCTGAAAAAAAATAAGAATAGGCGATGCCCCGAAGAGATGCTCGTGCTGCTAAGGGTTGAAGGGCTGCTAGAGGAATAATTAAGAAGGACGAAGGGCTGCAAGCGAGGAAAAATTGCACGAGGCGTTCGCGTTTCCGTGAAATGACACGAACAGGGGATATTTTAAGTTGAACAAGCTTAATTTTTGTTTTAATGGGATCTCGTGACGCATGTAGGCCAGTTACGTGGCCTGCTCTGTCTCGTCGGTTCGTGACGAATCGGCGGTGGGGAGGGTGGCCGACACAAATTTCAAGCCGGTCAACAGTTATTTTCTTTCGAGAACGGTCCGGCGCGTTATCCTCTATGAATTTACGTGGCCGCGGGAGAAAACGAATGACCTAGCCGGATCGGGCCGGGCCGAGCCGGCTCCTATTTGAGGAAAGGAGGACTCGTTATCGCTGCGAAGCTGGTCGCGATATGAAAATGAAGAACGGGGCGATGTAACTTGTGTGTGCGTGACGAAGCGTCCCAGGCTTCGAAATATGCCACGCCGATTAGAAAGAAACAATCGCGACGATTATTCATGTATAAGACGCCCGATGGATAGCAATTTATTAGTGGCGGCCCACCCGCGCTTCTTCCCTATGCATCGCTTCTGAGTAATTAGTCGCCGGGAACGCGATCGTGCGAGAAAGAACATGGGAAAAGACTTTTTCCCCCGTTTTTTCCCCTAAACGATCTTCCGCACGCTTGCTCCGATGATGAATTACTTTGCAATTAATCGGCGTCAAGTTACAACCTTCGAGTAGGCTACCATGGCCCCGGCCCTATTCAAATTTTTGCTTGTAATTGTTTAATTCTGCATGTATTGCAAGATTTGGATAAGCTTCATTTTCAACGTAGCGAAGCACGATTAGCGAAGTACGAATTTTATGCGTTCGTATAGCATAATTATTGAGACAGAGAATGAGTTTCTATTGCAGCACCTGCTTATTGGGAGTCAGGTAAAAAATATCGTAATTTTACAGAGCCTACTCGCGGGTGGGGAACAGGCATGAAGGTCGCTACGATTTTCGTCAAGTAGAATCGCGAAATGAGAATGGCTCGTGCTCGCTCTGGAACTGTTGCGGGGCTTGTGCAGATAGGACGGATAAGGGAAACTTTTGTAAGATTGAAGTTACACGTTCTGCGGCAATTTACTATTCCTTTGGGGCTCCCGTGACTCACGCATGGAACTTCGATTGCACTGTTTTACAATCTTGATAAAAAGAGTGTGTGTACTGACAGTGAACGAAAGAAAGGTCGTTTGGGTTATTCGAGAACATTTCTGGCGGTAAAGAAAGATTATACAATATTCTGTAAGTTTAGAAAGCTTGTTATCTTCGTTGCTGAATTGTTGAAAATATTTCAGAAGAGCGATTGGGACAGCGACAGTGGAGAGAACGAAGAATGGGAATCAGACTTGGAGACATCAATGCCCGATGCGTGGTCGCCGTATGTCACTGTCACCCGCCAGACAGCGCAACATCCATGTCATCGAACAGCTCAACCATTGCATCATCGTAAATTGAAATCAACCAATCGGATGATTTAAAATTATATTAGTCGCTACTGCGCGGCGGTACCAATGCAGCAAGTACGTGAAATAACGTAGTAAATTTTCTATTTTCCATTGAGAAAGAAGTTTCGTCGAATTTAAAATGCCGACCCGATGTTCGTCGCTCGATTTTCATCGCATGACGAATTAAACAAATTGCCAGTTAACAAGCAAATCAAAGTCGATCTGGTACCTTGCTTGAAATCAGCAAGTACGAATCAATTTGTAGAACATTTATCAACGCTGTTCTCAATTTTTTTTATTTCATAGGCGCATTTGCATCTGGAATATTTATTGTAGATTGCATATCTACTTTGACCGGAGTGCGCTTAAAACGATACCGATCGTAAAGATATGATTAGCGGGCCTGGGTGGTTCGTGTAAATTTTCTGGGCCGATCGGTGTTAAGCAATTGAATGTTATCGCGGCATTGTCGTCGACGTCGCGAGGCGATAATGCGGTGAAAAATGAATGTTGCAGAGGAGCGGAAGTGACGAGAAACCGGTGGAAGATATAGCACCGATCAGAGGCGGCTGCGAGTTGACGCAATCAATTATGTTCTGGCCGTCTCTCTCGCAAACGGTGTTACTGCTGCGGTCGGAAGTAACAGTTTATTACTACTGCAAACCCCGGCCACAGGCGTACGTAATACACGCCGACGACGTTCATCGAGTATCTTCGATGGAGTCTATTGATTTGAACCATGCGACCGCACATAACACCGTTCCGTGCCACCAGAAATTTCGAGCTTCCGGCACCGATCGAGAAAAACAGAGCGATTGACTCGCGATGCCCGCCCAGAGGAAATTAATGGTTAAGTTAATCCCTTCCTGGCTCGGTGCAACGGTCTCCAATTTTCTTTATTTTTTCTTTTTACAGTAAACTCGACGAAATTGTAAACTGATCCCGAGCTAAGAGCCGGCTGGAACACGCGACGTCCCATTTCAGAATTACTCGGTGTATCGTCGATTTAAGTGTTGGACCTTTCCTTTATGTTCGGAAACATGGTAAGTGGCTATTAAACAGATTTAAAAGCAGAGTAGATCTTATTTCAGACCATTGCTGCAGCGATTAAGTCTCCCGAAGCTGCCCCTGCACAGCAGCATGCACGTAGTTCACCCACTTTCGTTTCTATCGCGAAATCTTTTGTTTCTTGTAAAATACGAGATTAGAAAAAGGACCAATTGCGCGCCAAAGTTTTACGATGAAATCAGAGTAGCTGGTGTTACGTTATGGTGTCGCATTCTTTTCAGCTATCGGGGCACAGTGGTGGATTTTATGGGGACGTAGGGAAGCGATGACGACGGTCCCACGCTGATTTCGTCATGGCCCGAAAGCCAGTAGTAGAAACGCGGTTTGTGAATCGTCTGTGCGGAGAACTCGGTGTTTATTGATCCCTTGCGGGGCTGACCAACGGTCAATGAGATACGGTCTCTCCCTTGCATGCCGCCCTACGGGCTAAGAGCCCTGCATTGGTCTCCTTAACGGAAGTTAGCCACCACCCCCCCAAGCTACTCCGTGATTCATGCCCTCTAGGAGACGTGAGACGACATAGAAAATCGGTGGATACTTCGAATCGGAAAAACCGCAGGTATACATTTGGAAAGAAGCATGATGTTCCAATGATATTCCTCGAAGAGATATTCCAAGCAAAACGTCGAGAAGAAACGAAAAGCGATTGGCGTGCCCAGGGTACGAAACGGGATTCTTATCGAAGGGTTCAATTTACCGCAGCATACAACAATGACGTACGGCGAACAGTTGTATATACGATAGCAGATTTTCTAGCCGAATCATTCCCGCGGTTGCGGCAGGAAATATGGAAAGTGCAAATTAACCCTGCGCAACCCAGTTTCCCGTGCTTATTAATTCGGTTCCGTGGAGCTGATAAGTTTTTCTAATGACAGCGTACAGAAATCCAGGTCGTCGATGGAGGAACGCGGACGAGAAACCTTCTAATGGGGTTAATTTCCGAGATCCAGAGGGATGAACGTGCGCACGGGAGGCCGAGAATATACAGATGAACAATAAACGTGGACGATTATGAGCCGTCGAGGGATAGGGTGGGAAAGGATCGAAAGCGGAGGGTAGGAAAGGAAGCGTTGGTTGCGCGCAATCGCGGCCAACCCCTATTCTCACCCCTCTTTCCCTGCACCAATACCTCAACCCTCCTCTCCGCCAAGTGAAACGCTCCGATCCCCACCATTTCGACGCAGGATTCACCTACGCGAGACCTCGATCCCAACTGCCACGTGGCTTTGGTAAACAATGCCAGAATTACTTAACCCTTTTTACACCCTTAACCCATATACCGGCGTCTCCGTGCCCCATCGATAATTATCGTACGAAATTATGCACGCGTTGCCATCGACGTATCCTCGAAAAAAAACGGGTGGCGAGTTTTAATGAACCCTCCCTATTTTACAATCACATGTGAAACAATGTCAATCTGTTATTGCTGTTAAGCTCTGCAACTGCAAATATTTATATTAATCAATATTATTTTTTAATTTTACGGTACACAAAATAACGAGCATAAACCCCGGAAATAAATCTTCAAAGTGGACTTCGAGTGATCCAGAATCTATAGGATAATTGAAAACCATGCAGCTGTTTAAATAATTCAATATACATACGTTAATGAATTGTTAGTTTAATTATACACGAGGCTCGTAAGTCTGTTTAAGGATCAGAGAAAGTCGCATGATCGTGCAACACCCAGGCAAGTTCCCAGCACAGCTCAGAGCATGGTAATTAATAGTTTCGAATGGTTCGTTAGATCGCGCAACTTGGCCGGCCGTCCCCGGCAAATTAGGGAGCTTTATGGCAAGCATTTTTCTCTTTAATTACCGGGCAAGGTGTTGCACGTGAATCGCTGTTCTCCTCGATATCGATTCGTGTAGCCGTGATATGGGTCAAGGCGTTCCGCGGGTATTCTCGTCGCGTATATAGGCCAGGTGTATCCATAGCCGCCGATTCCCTTGGTCCCTAATCCATACGATCGGCATGCAAAGTCCATAGAACGATAGGATCGTGCATAAGCTTCGGCCACTTTGCCGGATTAAGGGTTGACCCGGCACGAGAGAGCCACGGCGCAACGACGATCGAAATAACGGATCGTACACAGGCAACAGCGGGGAGCCAGAGAGAGAGTGAACCTTATGACGGGCAGCAATAGCAAATGTTGCGCGCGTATAACGGGCCGTCACACCTTAAAACCTGGAAATCAGGCTGGGCGTGGGTCATCCTTAACGACCGGTGACGCAACTCGCCAGGTGAAACCGATCCTCCCTGTCGGCGGATTCATAAAAATAATGAACCGCCTCACCGAACCACCGGAACCGAGCTAAAAGGATCGAGCGTTAATTGGACCGTTTCTCTGCTGGCCAAGCCTCGAACAGATACACCTTCCGCCTCAGGTTCCAATCCCAGTTCCCTGATTTCGATCTTTGGACTCCTTCTGGATCAATCGCTTTGCCATTTTTCAACAAATCGTTTCTTTTCGTTCGCAGTAATCGCCGTTCAAGGATCGGGGCGATCAGCGAGGCTGTAAAATCCGAGGATCTAATTTGACTGCCTCCTACGCGAAGAAAAATGAATCTCGAGGTTCCGTCTGTTCTCCAAGAAGGAATCGACAATCTCCATGCCTCGAAGAGCGATCGAGAGCCTCCGATGACCGGCAGCCTGCATTTTTAGGTAGCCAATCAGGCGGCAGTTGCGTGCGTCCCGGTTCGAGCCCTGATCTGGGCCAGATACACAAAGACTGTTGACGGCAATATACGCAGCTTTCTTATAAATCGCCGTATCGCGACCCTTTTACACCGGCCGGCAACGTAGCAGAGTATGCGTGTCCCGACAATGTCCGTACGCGTTCACAGGGAGCCGCAGCTTACGTTTCTTCGGACCTCACACCCTCATGAATATTAAGCATGAATGTCCCCCACCCGCGGTTTAATTATACCGAGCGTTACAGGGAGCCGGCCGGGCGAACTATTTACTTTATTGCCTTATAGTCCGTGCACAGGTTGAATTATCGCCCTCTAAACGAGATCGGTTCCCTCTCGTTTGGCCCGCGATCGCGGCCCGAGATCCGATCTACACCCTTATTTCTTCTTCGTGCAATGTACCAGATCGAACGACCCACTTTTCCACGACTGCGATTAAAGCCCTGCGTTTTTCCCCAGCCAATTTTCTGAGGTCTGATGCATAATGCCGTTGCGAATCTATGCCTTTCTCCCACCGGCAGCGATTAACAAGCTCTCCGCTTCTTCTTTTGTGCGAGAATCGTCGATGGAATCTTGGTATCATCCAGCAGTTAGAACCGCCTCAGGGTGATCGTTAGACTGTATCGTAACTGAGAATGCTTTCAGGATGAAGGACTCACCTTGAACGTCTTGTAGCTGGACACGACGTAAGAAGCACCGTCCTCGAGCTCGTCAAGGGTGAGCTTCCTGTCGCCGTCCATCGAGAAGATGTGCCGTGCTCCTCTGGGCAGATCCATTCGCAGGGACAGTCTGTCCAGAAGGGCCTCCAGGGAACCGATGTCCCTTCCCGGCTTGAACCTGAAATTTATTCATTGTCATCCTCTGATTCTGCATCTCAGGTGCGACTACCTCTCAGCTGATCGCAATTGTTTGTACGGTAACGGTGCCTGCTAACGTTTCAAATGATTGCGAAGGTGCACAAAGCTACAATGGAATGAAAATCGCGAGGATCTCATCCAAGGTAGCAACTTGTATATCGGCAAAGTAGAAAAGGTCTATTGTGGAGAAGATTCTAAATCATCGATAACAGTGTCAACCATCTTTACGGATGATTCTGAAGTTCGCGAGGTAACCATGCAAATGAAACTGCGAGGATCTCTTCCGAGATAGCGAACAGAGTATCGACAAGATAGAACAGATCTCTCAGTCTCTCACAGAAGCTTCTAAGTCGTCGATAACAGTGTCAACCATCGTTTCAGATGATCGCAGAGGTGCGCAACGTGTCCGCAAAGGAGGCGAAGTCTCGCCCCTCGGAAATCTCTTTGTACATGAGGAATAGTGCATCAGGAAGTGTTCCAGGAGTGATGTCGAGCCAGTGTCTTTCGTGTCGCAAGGAGGATCTCATTCATAGCCCGAAATCAAGGCCACGGAACGTGGACACGCCACCTGCACCCTAATAAGGTACTAGGGTCTGCCGGTGGCGATAGAAGGGCGCAAGCAAAGCAGCAGAACCAGATAGAGGGGTGCCTACTGGTTATTATCGGCTCACCTGAACTCGATGCCGGGAAAATACGGGTCGCCATTCTTGTAGAAAGTGACTCGCCTGGCTCTCCAGTAACCAAGGTTGTTGTATCTCGCGGGCGCCGGCTCGTGTCGGCTCTTAGGCCTGTGCTCCGGCTGCTCCGGAGGCGGCATGCGGGGACTGGAGGGTCTGCTCTGCCTCCAGAAGCCGGCCATGCCGCCTCCACCCCCACCTTCGTTCGCCAGAAGACCGCCGCCGACCGCCTCCTGCGCCGCCCCACCCTCGACTTCCACTCCATCCTCGTCGTCCTCCTCCTCGTCGACCTCCTCCTCCTCGGCCTCCTCGGCCTCCTCCTCCTCCTGGTCGTCGTCGCTTCGAGCGCCTCCACCTGGCATCGTCGTCGCCGTCACGTTGCTCGTCGTCGTGCTGGTGACGCTGCTTGACGCCGTCGTCGCGACGCCGCTAGGTGTAGTTACTGTTGCCGCTGCGCTGACCGGTTCTTTCGAGGAGCTTTCGTTTCGTGGCGCCTCCTGCTCCTCCTTGGTCATCACACCTGCGGTTTCAGGGTCTCGGTGGTTCCAAAATCTCCTGGACTGCCTCGCCTTGTCCCCACGAAGCCCCGGTTCCGCTTGTGCAATCTCTAGAGGTCAAGGGATTCGTCCCGCGATAACTTGAACAACATTGCCCCATTTAGCATTTGCACAGATGGAAACGGGGCTCGATGGCTTCTGTCGCTCTTAGAACAAGGATCATAATCAACGGAAACATAACTCCGATAAGTTTCGGATAACGAGCAACCCCGAGGGTCGCAGGACAAAGGGATGAAACCGACGTAAACGTTTCTGCGATTACGAGCTAAACTACCACCGAGATCTAGCCTTAAGACTATCAGAGGGGTCGATCTGCTGGAATCTCAGCAAGTTAAACAATATTTAATCATCGTTTCATAAGCAGATCAGGGGCACCAGGCGGTTATTAAACGACCGGGCGACTCTTTAGCAAGGATATCCAGCCTGAGGATCTGGTTTTTCGTGGAGCTTTCTGCGAAGATGATTGCAATCTCGCCAGGTAATTAGCTGGTTCTCTCTCTCTCTCTCTCTCTCTCTCTCTCTCTCTCTCNCTCCAGGGAACCGATGTCCCTTCCCGGCTTGAACCTGAAATTTATTCATTGTCATCCTCTGATTCTGCATCTCAGGTGCGACTACCTCTCAGCTGATCGCAATTGTTTGTACGGTAACGGTGCCTGCTAACGTTTCAAATGATTGCGAAGGTGCACAAAGCTACAATGGAATGAAAATCGCGAGGATCTCATCCAAGGTAGCAACTTGTATATCGGCAAAGTAGAAAAGGTCTATTGTGGAGAAGATTCTAAATCATCGATAACAGTGTCAACCATCTTTACGGATGATTCTGAAGTTCGCGAGGTAACCATGCAAATGAAACTGCGAGGATCTCTTCCGAGATAGCGAACAGAGTATCGACAAGATAGAACAGATCTCTCAGTCTCTCACAGAAGCTTCTAAGTCGTCGATAACAGTGTCAACCATCGTTTCAGATGATCGCAGAGGTGCGCAACGTGTCCGCAAAGGAGGCGAAGTCTCGCCCCTCGGAAATCTCTTTGTACATGAGGAATAGTGCATCAGGAAGTGTTCCAGGAGTGATGTCGAGCCAGTGTCTTTCGTGTCGCAAGGAGGATCTCATTCATAGCCCGAAATCAAGGCCACGGAACGTGGACACGCCACCTGCACCCTAATAAGGTACTAGGGTCTGCCGGTGGCGATAGAAGGGCGCAAGCAAAGCAGCAGAACCAGATAGAGGGGTGCCTACTGGTTATTATCGGCTCACCTGAACTCGATGCCGGGAAAATACGGGTCGCCATTCTTGTAGAAAGTGACTCGCCTGGCTCTCCAGTAACCAAGGTTGTTGTATCTCGCGGGCGCCGGCTCGTGTCGGCTCTTAGGCCTGTGCTCCGGCTGCTCCGGAGGCGGCATGCGGGGACTGGAGGGTCTGCTCTGCCTCCAGAAGCCGGCCATGCCGCCTCCACCCCCACCTTCGTTCGCCAGAAGACCGCCGCCGACCGCCTCCTGCGCCGCCCCACCCTCGACTTCCACTCCATCCTCGTCGTCCTCCTCCTCGTCGACCTCCTCCTCCTCGGCCTCCTCGGCCTCCTCCTCCTCCTGGTCGTCGTCGCTTCGAGCGCCTCCACCTGGCATCGTCGTCGCCGTCACGTTGCTCGTCGTCGTGCTGGTGACGCTGCTTGACGCCGTCGTCGCGACGCCGCTAGGTGTAGTTACTGTTGCCGCTGCGCTGACCGGTTCTTTCGAGGAGCTTTCGTTTCGTGGCGCCTCCTGCTCCTCCTTGGTCATCACACCTGCGGTTTCAGGGTCTCGGTGGTTCCAAAATCTCCTGGACTGCCTCGCCTTGTCCCCACGAAGCCCCGGTTCCGCTTGTGCAATCTCTAGAGGTCAAGGGATTCGTCCCGCGATAACTTGAACAACATTGCCCCATTTAGCATTTGCACAGATGGAAACGGGGCTCGATGGCTTCTGTCGCTCTTAGAACAAGGATCATAATCAACGGAAACATAACTCCGATAAGTTTCGGATAACGAGCAACCCCGAGGGTCGCAGGACAAAGGGATGAAACCGACGTAAACGTTTCTGCGATTACGAGCTAAACTACCACCGAGATCTAGCCTTAAGACTATCAGAGGGGTCGATCTGCTGGAATCTCAGCAAGTTAAACAATATTTAATCATCGTTTCATAAGCAGATCAGGGGCACCAGGCGGTTATTAAACGACCGGGCGACTCTTTAGCAAGGATATCCAGCCTGAGGATCTGGTTTTTCGTGGAGCTTTCTGCGAAGATGATTGCAATCTCGCCAGGTAATTAGCTGGTTCTCTCTCTCTCTCTCTCTCTCTCTCTCTCTCTCTCTCACCTGGCTCCGAGGTAGTGGTTGCGGAGCCTCCACCACCCTCGCTGCCGCCACCCACGCTTCCGTCGCCCGCTACCTCCTCGTACTGCCCCAGCCTGGAGCCGGCACGCAAACTCGACTGATTTTCAGCGGCGATCATCGGCACAAGGCCGCCGCCTTCCGCCCTCCTCGCTCTTTGGCCCTCCTTCTCTCAGCACGATCTCGGCGTTCCAGGATCAACGAGGCGGTCCTGGAAAGAACACGTTTCGCCGGAGATTAGCGTCTGCCGGGCGTTCAAGTCTCCGGACTGTCCTCCTTTTCGTTATCCACTGCGAGCCCGTTTCCGGAAAAACGGAGACGCAGTGGAACCCGTTAACATCTTTAAAAACATAAGTATATTATTTGCTACTAATTACTATCACTAAAAGACGAAATATTCATGTAATTCCCGTTTGTTGAAGATCCAAAGTCTATTAATAAGAATTCTCGAATGAATTCTTCAATTATAAGAATTTAATATTTTTTTGATAGAAGAAGAATCATTTTCGAGCGGCAACGTCTACGTCGTTTCTCCAGCCAAGTACACAAAGGTAGATTATCGATTAAGCCGCGTCACCACTTCTGCAATCCACAAATCAATGCACAATGTACCTTAACGAACACGAGAATCGCGAAACTACCGTGCAGCCGATGGAAATCTCGTTAATTGAAATGGCAAACCAGGAAAATTTGCAGTGGCATATCTAGATAGCCAGAAGTATATCCTACGTGGCAAATTGAAATTGAAATCGAAAAAGTTTCTGCGCGTACGGCGCCAGCCGGAAGTTCGGACTCCCGTATCGCGGCGGTATAAATTGTAAAATCAAATGCACGTACATGTCACATGGGATCAATTAAATGTAGATAACTCTCGATCAATGTTATCGCGTGGGAGGTGTTGCCCGAACGTACCTCGATGGTGGACTGAAGCCAACAGCACCCTTTCGAGGTCGTGTTCCTCCCCGTAAAATCGCCCGTCAGAATTTTGATGGATCGTTCCCGTGTTGTTCCTCTCGGGAAGATTCAAGGTTCCACCTTTCCGGTACGGTTCTACGGAACGTGGGCGAAAAAAAGGGCAATCCGGCACGGCGCGCCGGTAGAACGTCCACGTGTCGCGTGATTGCCGGGGATTCCGGATCGATCGGAGGTCCCACGCTTACAATGCACTTTTATTTTATAGCCGCAGTTCACTGCAGATCGATCGATCGACACCCTTCATCTTGTCCAGCCTTGAAAATCCAAAATCCCGACCGAGCACCGACTGCCCTTTGTCTCGGTGAGTACTTCCGGTTTCGCACCAAACCACCGTTTTATTCGAAAAATTAATCTCTCAATGATCAGCACACTATTTTAGCGTAACTGATTCACAGTCTTTTTTAGGGTGTCCACTTGGCTTATGAAGACTAAGGTCAAGAACACACAGTAACTTCTGATCCAGCATTTAAAAAACTAATAAACTGTCTCGAAAAGTTCATTCAGTATTCACAAAATATTCGGTATTCATTACAAAATCAGAGGGAAGTTCGAGCAAAATGACACTGATATACCTTGTAGAACCGCGCAGGTAGCCTTTATCGGTCAATCAAAATCTACTTCAAGTATCAAACTCCTCCGAATTCGACAGAAATGACTTATTCGTCAATGTCCGCAGGGATCACTGTTCACAAAGGGATGGATCCATAGCTCGGCCGGAAGCGATCCTCGAATCCATCGATTTCCCGCAGAACATGCTGTAGTTCCTCGGGAAAAGGAACCGTCTCGACACTCGCGGAAGAAAATCACGCTGCTCCGGTTTTCGGAGAATCGTTTCCCAAGGCGACCATAATCGTCCAACGAGTCGGAGAAGCACAGCGAAGAAAAGCAACGCGCGAACGCGGGGGTGTATCGTCCAGTGACACCGAGGGTTCACTCGGATACGAGATAACACCGGCCGGTATACATATTCATGCGTCCTTCGACGATGGCGTCCCGACGTCGAGTGTGTCGCTCGGAGGGACAGCAACGAACCATGCTACCCCGGCGCCGCCGTCGTGGTCGTCGTTGTCGTCGTGATCGGGACGTCGACGTCCCTGTTCGTTCTCCTGCCGGACAACGTTTGCCGGCATCGACGCCCGTGTCAGTGAACCGACGCCGGCGAAACGAGCACCGAACTTGTTGCACTGGCCGGGACCCTTGCGCGCAAGCCTCGTCCTCCGAATCGCCAGCCACATCTTTCGATCCAGACGATGCGATGTCTCGAACCCGGCATTCTCTTATCAAACCGAGCGTTTCAACCGCCTGCAGGCGCCTCAGCGCCCCTGACTTTCTTTAACAAAATTTCTCGACTTGACAATTGGATAGCGTCAACGGTCGTGGCTGACCAAGATAGCGGCTACAATCTAATAGCCACGTACATTTACATTCGTACAAATCTGTCTGGGAAGAATAGAAGTTGACTGTATCAAGCATGCTTGCTCACTATGGTTTCCAGCACAATACACTTGGAAAGTTTCAATCGTTAAGTGAGAAGTGAAGGATTTTGAATAGAAAGTCAGTGGAAAATTGAAACCTTCCTTCGCGGATCAAGTCTATACTTCTAGACAACTTTCGAATCAAGGAGTACGTATCATATCTTCAAATCTTGCTGGTCAATTTATTTTAACAGCATGAAACATGTTTGTACACTTTGACTGGTCGCAGCGGAACATTCGAATATTTTAATCTTAAAATAAGAGATGGAGATATTTGAATGAAGATTGAGTTCTTTGAACAGCGAAGCTTTAATGAAGCTAATGATATATTTAACTTGACTGGAGTATGGTGACGTTGTCACGTACTTAGTTATTTTCTGCGGTAGCTAGAAAAACAGTCCGCAGTCGATGTTGAATAAGTAACCGGCGGGAAAACCGAGCGGAAAATTTATGGCAGGTACGGAAGCGATATAATGTGCCATTTATCGCGGAGTCGGGCGATCGTTTCAATTGCAAATTTTTTCTATAATGCAGAAAATGGCGGAACGCCGCCCGTTTTATTCGACCTTCGCGTCCGGTCGGCTTGTATCTTGTATTCATATCGTATGTTCTGCAATTCTGTGGCTTCATGCAGCTAATCATCCTAGGCTGCTCTCCGATAAGAGGTTTCTTTCCTCGGAGAAATTCAAACTGCGGGGGCGTATCGTTGAAAGAAAAGAAGCACACGACACAACGAAGTGGAGCACGAATTGCGTGAAAGGAGCGTAGCCTCGGTTTTCGACAAATTATTCTTATAATTGCGGATCGGATTGTGCCAGTTCTGCATCCACTACGCGTTCGATCGAGCAGGTTCTTACGGCAGGACGCGAATAAATTTTTTTCCTACCAACTGTACGGTTCAATGTGACGGATTAATAAGCGTTCTTTAACGTCCACGTCCTTACTATGGTGAAATGTCGAACGGACGGCCGTAACGTTTCAAACGAGATTATAATTGACCGGCATCGTTTAAATTTATGAACAGACTTCGCCGGGCTATGCAAATGCGCCACGCTTGTACGCTCGAAATGTTTAAATACGAAACCCTTCTGGGAAATAGCAATCTCCTGCACGCAAAATGCCGTTGCTCGTCACAGCAACTTTCTGGACTTTTTCCCTTGGCGCAGCGGTCTCGCATTCGCCATTGAAAATTATGGGACGTACGAATACTTATCCGAACGTTGAGCCTTTTTCATTGAATCGTGAGTTGTAACAAAGTTAGAAATCGAGAAATTTAAACAAATTATATATTTTATTTAGAAAGTACGCGCTATCGAATACAATAATTGTTAAGAAAACCTTAATGTAGCTTTAACCATTTCTTAACTTTATTTACGACTAGATAAAACATTCGCTGGTAAATGGCCAATTAATTTGAATAACTGAAAGACGAGCAGAAATCGTTACTCGTACAAAAAAACCGCAGTCAATCTTTCGTGAAAGCATTCTGCAAAGGTGCTCTCGCTACCTTCTCTTATCGATCGTGAAGGATAGATGGTGAAATAGATTACACAAGGTTTTGAAACAACGAATCGGCAAGGATTCGGACAATTCGAAGGGAAAGTTCGGATTCAGCGTTCACCGAATCCTGCTGATTCACGCTTACCGTGATATACGAGCCGCTCGACCGCTCGATTACTTAAGTGGTCGAGGAACGAATCTGGTCAGTCAGCTGCCACGGTGAACACGCAAACCCTACCGAAGTATCGACTATTCGCCGTGCCAAGAAAATATTTTAAAGATGACCGGCGGTAATGAAAACTCTACGAGAAACCTCCTGGATGATACCCTGTGACCAGTCGCGAAGATCAAAGGAAGAAGTCAATTTTCATTCGTGCTTCATGTCTTTGTCAAAATTCGTTACTTGAGAATAATTATGGTGAAAAATTATGGCAACACTTATCTAATGTAACACTCTTCTGCAGGAGTAGTGTAATTTTGCCACGAATGGCACTCGTCCTCAGCAGGGTCGAAGCTGTATGAAATTCCAACGAGGAACGAAGTAGAAAATCTCTTTTTCCTTCAAGAGGAAAAAGTCCAATAGACGAGATTTGCCACCGTGAACTGACCAATATTAAAGACCTATTAAAATTCGAACGAGAAACAGCGAAAACGCCATTCTTGAAGAGGAAGAAATCCAATAAACCTGCGGGTCATGCCGACTGGTGTTGAAATTGTATAAAATTCGAAGAAGAAGCAGGGTGAACACAATCCTTTAAGAAGAAAAAATCCAATAAACGAGGTTTGCCACGCTCGGAATCACCGTGAACCGGCGCTAAGTGACCAAGGAGGTCAACGAGTTCCTTGTCACGGAAGTCCCGATACGGTGGCGAGCGGTCAAGGAATAAGAAGCGTCGTTTGCCGTTTCCCATTGGGCGGCTGTAGGCACACGCACGGAACGGAACCTGTGTCGGTCATTTCTAACAGACTCTCCACGTGATACCGTGGACTTTTCCCTCCGCAGGTGAAAAGACGATGGTGGCAAACACCGGCCGCCCGCTATCGACTTTGCAATAAAGCTGGGAAGGGGCCGTTGCCCGAAAGCCCGTTCCTGATCGCTCTTTTTCTTCTACCAGCTCTTTCTCTCTCTCTCTCTCTCTCTCTTTCTTTCTCTTTCGAAAGTCCTCGTAAACCGTCGTGCTCGATGAAGATAAAAACGAGCGACGATATCCGACGACCAGCTCCTTCGCTCCTCCACCCCCTGCGAATGTCACGAAGCCACGTGCCTCGAATCTCTGGATTTTAATCGACGTCCAGTGGCCTGGCAAACTCCCTTCGCCGGCGCAAGAGTAAGCACCGGGCCTGATTATGAGCTTTCGTAATTATATTTCCCTCATCGATCCTGCCTTTAGCTACTGTAGTACTGTTTAAATAATTTGGAAACGTTTTTTAAAACAATTAATTTCTCGAAAGTAAGAACGATTTTGTAATACCGATCTTAAAGGCGTGAAAGATAGTAAATCATTCGTTTAAAATCTCCTACGCAAGAGGAGGTTTTTATTTTTAACATTTTGTAGCTGATTTGTGTGAAACTACTTCCTCCGTCTCAGTCCGTCTAAAGTCAGGTTTTATAATTACATCCCTTTGCTGATCAATCTCCAGCCACTGTCACTCTTTGGCCATTTATTTGTTAAGATGCTAAAGAAAAACGTAAGTGAAACACAAAAACGAATGATTCATGGAGACATGCTAAATTACTACTCACGACTCAAAGTACCCTTACACTAATCACATACGCGGGTTCCATAGGAGCCAGTGATTTCTCCTTATCGAATCACCGAGCTCATAGCTTCAGAATTATATTTTACTTTATCATACTTATGCTAATACCAATGTTCCAGGAAAAGCGAGTCGTGTTGGGTCAAGATTGATTTGCTAACAGTAACCCCATTAACAACATAAGCACGAGCCTGTACACCCGTAATTATCATTGCTCGGTTATCACTGAATATTACAACGATCCATAAGAGCTGGTTATCGGCTTGAATCGGAGCCGAGCAGGCGCTTTATCAACAGATATCCAAGACCTTGCACGTCATCGCGACAAACCGTGGAAGCAGTAATGCCGAATGCAGTTCGCTAGGAGAAACAGATAAGCCTGGGTACCGTGACAAGCAAATATTCTTCACCGCTCATCGAGGAAACGTCATGTCCATCATATAAGGTCTAGCAGAATGATTTTAATCATCTCTCCGAAGTCAAAACTTTCTCAACGTTTCCATATGTATTATAAAACAAAAGGAAGTTAATGCAGCCTTAAACTATTCTAAAGGATTGCTACTTACATATATCAACACTTGATAAAGCATTTCTACAACTACATTCGAACAGTTTTCCCCCATAGCGTTACGCTACCCAGAACAGGTTTTGAAGCAGCGCGAGCGAGCTATACAATGGGGACAACACGACGCTATGGAGGAAACAGTTTATTTCAACTTTTTCTTCTACTTCAGCCCCCGAAGGACGCAATCCTCTAGAATCTTTGGTGCCGTGCGTGTCAGGGATCTCGTGTCGTGGTCAAAAAGTAGAAGTTGCGCGACACTGCCGATAACAGGTGCCGATCTTATCCGAAATAGCGGTAAAAATAGCCGAGCAAGTATCACGTTAGAAGCAGGAGTGAAAAGGCTGTGTTCGAGTAAAAACAATTTTCCAAGTAAATTCATGTCAGTGTGTATTCGTTGATAAAATATCGTATTCTGTATGACAATAGTGAGCAATATTCTTGTTTGGCTAATCTATTAATTTTTCTTCGTCGGAGATTTAAACTGCCGTTTGTTCTTGTGATTCTGTTTCTTTCTTATTTTCTTAGCTGACGAAGAGTCTTCGTTCTCTTCATCATCCTCATTAGTTTTGTTGAAATCATCATCTTCGTCATCTTCATTATCATCGGTAGTGTCAACAGTTTTGTTACTGTCGAATCTTTTAATACCTTTTTCTTCGTCCTCTAACTCATCGATGATCGTAATCGAGTCTGAAGAAATATTCATAGTACTATTATGACTTGCAGCCCCGCTTTTCTTTGATTTACGCTTCTTTCTTTTACGGGTTAAATTCGTTTTGTCGGCATTCGTGTCACTATTTTCTGTCAACTGTTCCGTATTTGTTTTGCTTCCTTTGCGTTTGTACTCCGGCAATGGTACGTCAAAATTTCTCTCGAATACCGCAACGAAGAAGCCATTGCATATATCTACTTCGGGGTCAGCGTATAGGCAATTATCGGAGCAATTGTACTTTGGTGAGCTGAAATTCATCCAATTGGTCTTAAATTTGTTCTTCATGGATGCTAATCTGTAGGCACCTGCAGTATTCCCAAGAACTTCATCTACTACTTCTTCATTCTCTTCGGGATTGACCGAACAGGTGCTGTAAACAACCCTCTTCACGTTCGGGAAATTTAGAAGAGCATGTCGCAAGAGGATCACTTGAAATGCTTGCAATTGTTTCAGACGTTGTGGAGCACACTGCTCGTTTCCGTTGACTAATTGTCTGTCCAGCATGCCTGCGAATAAAAATATTATTGTATTAAATTATACTGTAAGTCGTAGCTAGACAAAGTTTGGTACCTGAACCAGAACAAGTTGGATCAACCAGGATATAATCCACGTTAGGATAGTCATCTGCCTCCAAGGTTATTGCATCCATGTTAAGAGTCTCCACACAGGAAGCACCAGTAATTCTCATTTGTTCACACAAAGTTGTATATCGTCGTTCGTCTATTTCAACTGCGTAAACCTTCCTGCGAACATAAAATAAAATTACTGTTTCATAACTGATAATTATATAGATTTAGCTGAATAATTATACAGATTTACCATACCCATAATTGTTTAACAAAGCAGCCAAATGCGATGACTTCATGCCTGGAGCAGCACACATGTCCAACACCACAGAACCAGGATCGGGATTCAATAAATGAGCTGGAAAACAGCTAGCCTGAAAAAAGAAGAAATACTGATGTAGAAAGGACAATGAGTGAAGTTTATATTTGCAAAAAGTGTTACCTTATCTTGCAAAACAATTTCTCCATTTCGGTACCCAGTATGATCATGAAAAGTTGTGTTAGTTGGAAAAATGAGTAATTCTGGAATATGAAAATCTTGAAGGAAATTTGGTTTTGTTAAATTTTTAACAGAGGTAAGATGCGTGCTATAATTCGAGCATTTCGGCAGAAGCGACCATCCTTCCTCTATGAAACTAGATATCGCATCGTTCATTGGCATTAACAAAGTGTTGACACGGACATATCTTGGTTTTTGCACTGGAAACAAAAAAATAGATAATGGATATAAATTAAAAACCATACTCTCTGACTAAGCTATTTATTGTTGAATACATAATGAATTATATTCAATACTGACATTATCTTAAACACAACAATTATAGTAAAAAAATATACAAATTACAGTCAACTACATGATTGTTACATACATGAATATGTTAAGATATTTTAAATACCATCATATAGTATTATATATATATGTGTATATATAAACTTTGTAATTGTAGTATAATAATTATATCTGTTACATTTTTAGTTCTTATTTAATCAACTTTTTTATTAAGACTTTCTTTAGTAGGCTGATTCAAAATTTCTTCAGTTTTTGGAGTATCGTCAGGCTCATGAAGGGCCTGATAAACATAACAAGCTATTATTAAATTTACTGTAATCACAGCCGCAAATACGGAAATGCAATTGGTCACAAATCTATCTACATTAAACTCGGCCTTCATAAAATGCTGTACACTAAAAAATGCAGCAAACGGCAATGTGAACATCGCGACGCTATATAGGAACAGAGTTCCTAGTGTGTGAACAAGATTCATGACTGGCGTTTCTCTATTCTGTTCGTGAGAAGTCTCTTTTTCACTTGATTTTTGCCGATCTTTGCGCACATAAGATAGAAAATTTTTTATTCTAGATTGCCGACTAGAGAGTATTCGGTTGTTGCGGATGATTAAAACCATCAATCCAGTTGCGCTATCTCTTACACAATGGAAACAGTCTACTAAATCTCAAGTGTGTGGTTGGACTCAGTTACTAATTTCCTTATACAGGAATCATCTGTTTCTGTAAAAATAATATACATTCATTAATAAACAAATATAAAATCATTTTACCTATTTTGTTAGCTGGTACCAGTGCTACTACAGCACTGGAAGTTAACTTTTCTCGCAGTTGTTTCTCGTACTTAAGTACAGACTGAGCAGGCTTGCAGTCTGTGTTTATGGCCTTTTTACCCCACAAGAGTTCAGTTATAAAAATTTTGGCCAACCATGGATCCAGACGAGATTCTTTCGTTAACATACGAGTTTCTTTCAAAAGTTGCTCAATCTGTGCCTCCTTTTGCAATGTATTCAAGCATAGCGAATACAGTGCAGAGGTATTCTATATTACGAAATATAAAAATAAGAGAAAATTACGATGATAACAAAATGAATGAAAAAAATTCTCGAGAAATAGGTTCCCTTGAAACCACGTGATTAAACAACGAACGATATAGTTCACAGAAAACATAAAATGCTTGGATTTAGTCGATGTGTTAATGAACGTTCGCATTTATTTTATCGTTTACTGACTTTATTTTAGAATAATATTAACTTACGGGATGTCTTTGTTGATAAATCAACGATTTAAGACTGCCACCATTCTCGCGAACCTCTCGGACAACCTTCGATGCAGATTTGTAAAGTCTCGGGACTTTGATGGAGTGCACGAAACCGTCAGGCATGTTATTGCATCAAGAATGAATTTCCGTGAAGATTACAATCAATAATAATTACAGAATTCCTTATAAATCAATGAAACGTCACGTGGATATCCACCTCGTGCTATCAAGTCAGAGCAAAATTATGCTCAAGGATAGGCTTTGAGTTGACTCAAGGCACAAAACTGTGAGTATACATAATATGTATGAACAGTACACACTGTGTACACAGTAGAACTAGCACCTCTTGTGACGAAATCTCGAAGTTCTATTCAGGATTCCTACAGCGCCAATTAGAACGTGACAAAACGTTAAAACTGCTAACCAAACAGAACTTCGAGATTTCGCCACAATGTACTGCAGAAATTAACTTTGTCTCTTATGAGGAAAACAGCAACAATTACTCAGAGTTGAATAAAAAATGCTATTTCATTCGTTTCCTGTTGAGATAGACATTTTTAAGGACTCGCATTTAAACTGGAAGAATGCACTTTTTGATAGGTTCATTTACATTTAAAAGAAAACTTGTATTCTCTAGGGACAGTATAAACTCCCCTACGTAATATTTGAATTCTAGTATTTCGAGAACTTGCGAGAACGAATTACCACTCACAGCCCTCTATTGAAGCAGTTGGGAACAAATCTTGTTCAATTTTAACCCTCTCGAAGCCTTGAAATTGAAGTCGAACATTTTTAAAAATTGATCTGTGGCGATTCCTGGGTCTGTTTAGACCCCTACGCAATTCTTTCTAAACATATTTTGGAAACTTCTTCGGAACATATTCATTTATTATCGTATCACAGATAATCAGCAGTTTAAGCCATCATAAACTGAAAAATTGGTTGGTCTTTTCGTAAATCTCAACCAACATAGCCATAGACACCCAGTGTCTTCATTCATGTGCAGTCGATATGCGTTAAATAAGTTCGCAACAATTTACAAATAAACGGTATAAATTATACCATAATTTCATGTAGACTAGAACACGATGTATATCTTTTAAATTTGTTTCCGAATAATTTGTATGGCTTTCCAAAAAAGAGATCTAATATTTTTTCATATTTAACTAACAGTTTATTTAGGATTATAACTATGTTCCTAGTTATTGGTGCGATATAGATTTTCACATTTGCTATCTATTCTTAAAGTCTAATTTTGAAACTCACAGAAATTGTTATCTAAAGGGTTTTATCACTTAGACTTTTTGTTCACTTCTGCAATCATTTTCTAATTGTAATGACATTGTAGTCTAACAATCTATTAGAAACTATAAATAAATGGAAAACAATTAATAAGCATTAAAATTTCTTCTTTCTAGTGGTATGACTAACTTGGTATTTGGAGTAGGTATAGGGTTATTCCTTATATTTACTCTGTGGGCATTAGCTTTGTTTGTATTTATTATTACACTGAAAGTAGAAAGAAAAATTGGAGCAATTGCTATATTGGTTGTGAGCATATGCACAGTTATTTTAATTGCTTTGCCTCGAGCAACTGAGAAATCTATCTCTGTTGAGAAAAAGGTACGCAAAAGATCATTGTAGCAAAAGAATAATTATATAACACACTATAAAACTAACTTAATTATGTAATTGTTTAAAAAAAACTTTTTTTTGCAGACATATGATCATTTATTTGTTTGGCGTATTCTATTGCTTGTATTATTAATTGTATCATCTATAGTTGGATTGGTAGGATATGTTAAATTTGCCCTGACAGAATCTGTTAGGCCGATCAGAATAACTAATTGGGTATCTTAAATGTTTATTGTAAGTATCTTCTTTAATATAATTTCTATGCGAATTAATACTATGCTGAATTAGTTGATACTTTTCCATTCTATATATATTTCAGGATATTTTAATAAAGTAGAAATGTTGGCACATATAATTGCTACTGATTGAACGAAAAATACTTCGATCTCACTAGTGATCAATTCATTTTTTGTCAAAGTAGACAGTACTAGAAACATTAGAAGATGTTGCGTCATCCTAGTAAGCTTGCATCAATGTTAGTTCGTAGTGTTTCTTTGTCTCGGCAACCAAAAAAACAATTTGAGATAAATGGCAATCAAGAGTTTGTTAGCAAAGTAATAAACAATTCAGTACCGGTTATTGTGAATTTCCATGCTCACTGGTGTGAGCCTTGTATGCTATTCACTCCTAAGTTGATAGAACTCATAAAGCCACTGGATAAATTAGATCTAGCTATTATTGATCTAGAATCAAATCCAGAACTAGTACATATGTTTGAAGTAAAAGCTGTACCTGCTATTGTAGTCATATCGAATGGATTAGTTATTGATAAATTTGTAGGTATAGTTGATATTGAGATAATAGAAAACTTAATACATAAACTGACTCATCAAAATGAATTATCCCCTTCTTCAAATCCTGAAGATGGCAGAAGAGAATCTTAAATGATGCGATTACTGTCAATGTATATTGTATAAATTACTTCGATAAGCTGAATTAAATGTATTTCCAAGATTTATGTTACTTTACGTAAATTTATTTCTCTATGAAGTTTTTTATCAATATGTTGACTGTTTATTTAACTAGAAATAGAGAATATTGTAAGTAATTGTGTACAAACAAATTTTTCTCATGACTTTGTTTTCCGAGATTTCAAGATCATCCATGCATTTCTAAATGGTACCCAAAGTCAGGCGAAGGTTATCGAATTGATCTTAGTCTCGACTATTACAAGATGACAAAAATATGTGTTTCCACTAAAAAAAAGAAAAGACGAGAAACTCGCAAAAGATGATCTTGAAAGAGAAAAGGAGATGTCTGTATACTCCAGTACTTTTAAAATCTCCGTCTTGAGATCCTCTTCCACTAAACAATCATGATTGTATCTTCTTCTGATTCTGAGAATAATAAAAGCCAGTTAAAAAAGCTTTACAATGAGTTATGTGTATTGTTTAACTATATTTTGTAGTTTTTTTCAAAATTTCCTAGTCAAGGTTACATTCGCTATTATTATTTATTTATCATACTTAAAACATTAATTTATAAAAAAAATGTTATTAAAAGATATTGTCTATTCTGTGAACAAATTGTACATATACATATGTTACATACAATAATTTTTGTATGTATGCGTATGAATTTTCTTCAATACTTCATTTATTCGGCTTGAAATGTTAGATAGTTTAGTTTAAAATGTATTTTTAAAAGATTCTAATTAGATCAACAATATTATTTTCTATAATTTATAAAAAATATTCTAAAATTGAATTTCATTAAGAATTTTAAACATGTTTGAAAAAAAGATTTCATGAAACTTGAAAATTAGCCTGAATTTTTCGATCGTCACGTGTTTCCTACCACTTCCAATCAGTTCACACATGAACTTATTTTAGTGTACTCCTATCTACGTACATAATTGTTAGTTCGTAAAATATTTTGTAGTCTCGAAATGCTATGCACTGTTTTACGCACAATTCGATCCACATCCAATTAGAAATATGATGATAAAGGAACAGTGATTATTTGGTAAGGACACAGGACCGTAAAGTATACAACAATTTTTCGTTATTATACAGGTTAGATTTCGGCGAACAGTCCAAAGTGTATTTTTAATTTCTTTTACTACGTAGATTTTATTTGTTATATTCATGAATGCTCGAAAATGATACAGATGATATTCGTTGTTCTATTGATCCGTAAATTAACGTGTGTCTTAATCGCGGAAACAAGATTCGAAGACGTAAAATCTTCTATTGCAATTTCTGTGCACGGAATGTACACATCAGTTTGTCAAAACTTATAAATATCATGTTAGATATAAATAATATAACGTCGGTTAATAAAAAAATGCAAATGAAAACATAATTTTTACGTGTTATTATCCAGTATGGAATAAAGTTTGAAGTAAATTTCTTTCATGCATATACTTCTTAACTTGTAACATTTCAATTACAGTTTAAGCATAGAATTAATATTGAAGTATTTAATGCTTATATTCCAATTAATTGTTTTAGAAGATTTGGAGTAAAGAAGATATTCAAAGTTACAACTCATTTATCTTGAGACAGAGGACAGTTCAATGACTAAAAATAAGAAGGTTTCATTATATTGTGTTAATAGTTATATCGTATTTACTACATGTGATAGCTTTATTATAATTAATCACATGTATACATATTGCACACATAATAAAAGCTTAGACTGTATAC